CCTAAACCCTAAACTCTAGACCCTAAACCCTAAACACTAAACCCTCTACTCGAAAGCAACGGCAGCCTCCTCAGAAGTTGAGGGTTTGTTTCAAGCACACGGCAATGGTGGGGCCCTGAACCCTCAAACCCTAGACCTTAAGACCGAAACCCTAAACCCTGAGCCATAAACCCTAAACCCTCAACCCCGAACCCTAAGCCTCAAACCTTCAACCCCAAGCCGTAAAACCCAAGCCCTGAACCCTTCAGGAAAGGGAAAGTCGGCCCTCAGAGAAGTGTTCAGCTTCTTCGTGGCGGAATTCTGAGCAGAAGTCGCCAGCTTTTGGGACCGAGCCGATATTTCAAGACCAGCCGTGCTTGCTGATCGTTTCGAGAACCCTAAAGCGCTAAACCCTAAACTCTACCTCCCCTCTCCTAAAAAAAAGAATCCCAACAACGCCTCTACCGGATCCCCCAAATTCCCCAAGAGGATCCTCAAGCAAGAGTCGGGCTCTGAGAAAGTGCGAGCGAAGTCAAGGGCACATGCCTACATTCTCACCAATAGCCGTGGCCATCCTGACCAGATTTCCTAGGAAGCATCGGCATCCTTAAATTCTAAGCCTTCAAGCCTAAACCCTAAACCCTTAACCCTCAACCCTAAAGTCAAAACCGGGTTGGAGCGTACCGTTTAAGGTCCTGGTGGATGGCCAAAAGCACAACAAAGTTGCTTCGATGATGGGCAATTCCCCGAAGTTACAGCTCGCCCAAGGCGCTCCAACTAGCCCAAAGCAGGTTTGGGTTTCAGGGTTTAGGGTTAGGTAGGTCTTTTGCGAGCCTGACGACTTTTTACCCTAAACTCTAAACTCTAAACCCTAAACCCTAAACCCTAAACCCTATAGATCCTCAGTTGGCGTTGTTTGAGGTTTTTTAGTTCTTTTCTTAGAGTCCTTGGACGAGGGCTTCAGACAGGCCCCAGCCGTCTCACGACGTTACTCATCCGCTCATGAGATGCCAAGGTGTGAAACAAGAGGGTTCAGGTTTTAGGGCTTGGGGTTTAGGGTTTGGGGTTTAGGTTTACGGTTTAGGGTTTTGGCTGGCTGGTTGCTTGGTTGGTTGGTTCAGAGATACCGGTGTGTCGTCTCTGAAGAGGGTTCAGGGTTTGGGGAAACCTTATAATTCTACCCTGAACTCTTGCAGCTTAAACGAGCGCCCGTGTCGTTTTCCTAGGTGACTCATCGGTTCTAGGCAAGCTGGCGTTTAAGCCGAGCGGTTTGAGCAGCATGAGAAGCGCGGCCTGGTTGCTTCTTCAGTGCTTGTGAGAATGCCGCCGTCGGACTCAGGGTTTAGGGGCTTGGTTTTAGAGTTTAGCTAAACCTTAAACCATAAACCGTAAACCTTAAACCCTAAACCCTCCACCCTCAATTCAAAACCCTAAACCCTAAACCATACACCTTAAATCCTAAACTCTAAACTCTAAACCTCAAACCCTATAATTTTATTTAAATACTTGAAACTCAAAAGGGTGCCCGTGTCGTTTTCCTAGGTGATTCCTGAGTTCTAGGAAAGCTGGCGCTTAAGCCAAGCGGTTTGAACAGCATGAGAAGCGCGGCCTGGTTTCTTGTTCAATGCTTCTGAGCACGCCGCCGTCTAGCTCAGGGTTTAGGGGCCTGGAGTTCAGGGTCTAGGGTTTAGCTAAACCCTAAACTCTAAACCCTAAATCCTAAACCCCAAACCCTAAACTGTAAACCCTAAACCTTGAACCATAAACCCTAAACCCTAAACCCTCAACCCTCAACCCTAAACCTAAACCTGGGTCTCTCAAAATCAAAGCCTTTACTCAAAACCAACGGCAGCCTCTTCATAATCTCGAGGTTTTGTTTCGAGCACACGGCAATGGTGAGGTCATCAGCCAGATATGGTGTAGGGCTTAAAGTTAGACAAGAGGATAAGTAACTTATGAATGAACACCTGAATGATAAGGAGAAAACACTATTAACTTTAGGACGCATAAAAAGATTGGAGCCTGGGCTAGGCCAGTGGCACAGGAGGGGTGGATTTCTGCGAGGTACCCACTCGGGGCCTCAAGCTTTTTTTGTGTGAAAAAGATAAAGGGTTGGGCGCGCGAGGTTCCTAAACCCATTCGGTTTCCCCATCTCTCCTTAACCCCTAGGAGGGTGCCTTAACTCCTTCTGAAGTTTCATTCTGTTCTATGTCCTCTCTGAAGCTCACGAGCCCACTGCCCAGAACCTTCCCAGCGGCCCTGAATCCCTAAGCCCCGTAAGACCCTGAGTCTTTCAGTTTCAGGTTCATTACAGCCTCAATATCAGAGAACCATTCTATTCACTCATGACATTAATATTAAATTAGATTTATATTTATTTTTTTAATAGCTCTGTAAAAACTAAGCCAAAAGAACCCGAAAGGTCTCAGGCTCATATATATATATACATATATCTATGTATATAAGTATATAATGTATACACATAAATACATAGATGTAGGTACATAATTACTGGCCGCCCCTTCCCCTGACCCACCGACCCTTTGCCCCCCCTTTTCCCTGACCTACCAACCCTTGGCTGTCTGCTCCCCTCTTTGTGTCATTTTTCTCTACTTGTCACACTTGCTTTGGCACATCTTTTAAGCATTTCCACTCGGGAATAGTACGATTTCCTAATCTGTATTGTGACGTCATGAAACAGCTACTCAGCGCATCCAAGCAGCGGGGCCAACTCAGTTTCTTGGGCTGCTGTACGCGGAAGCTCCACCTGCTTTCGTCTGCAGCACATGGGGCAGTGAATGCTGCCAGGGGGCCATAGGCGGCCTGTATGGACTGACCTTCCACAACTCCCTCAGGAACCGCGACTTCAAACCTAAGAGTTAGGCCCAGGCACTTATTGATTCTTGTGATTCTCAGGTTGCCAGTACATGTCCACTTGCTGAACGCAGTTGCGGGGGCTGGGGCTCACTGGGGCCACTGCTGTCCACCCAACGGGCTTGTTACCTGGAACGCATCCCCAGCCTGAGCTCTTCGCAAGGATTTGCAGGGCATGTAACAGTCATGTAACACTCGAGACACATCGAGACACTGTACCGTCGCATCGAGACACTGTACCGCCGTGCGGGACCAAGCATCAGCAGCACCAGACCTATCAGACCTGTCATCCTTCAATCGCGCCCAAGGCTGCCAAGGGGCTCGCAGACCGGCGGGCACAACAACTTGCATGAAGCTGCGAGAGGAACGCCGCGGTGCTGATGCTGGATTTTCCAGGTTGGGCATTGTGGCGCCTCAAGGGGCGCGACAAGTCAATGAAGTTACAGCAAATCCGCATCGCTCACGGAAATCGCCCTGCGACAATTGGAGATAAAGACAACCCGCCTCTCAAATTCACCTTCCTTTTGGTGAAGGGAGGATGTCCGGAGGTAAAGGGGTGATGTAGATGGGGATAATAGTAGGCTTCAGTGCGCTACACGCGCGCGCGCACGCGGCAATAGCATTGACAATTTTATCTTTCGAAACAATTTTTCTTTGTACAAATTCTGGATGTACAGCGAATGCACAACCAGCGGACTACTGCAAAGCAACTGTAGGGACTGTAGGGGGCAGGTGTGTAAGTCGGATTCCCCAAAGTGTGTGGCAAGTAGCGGGCACAGGTCGAAACATGCAAAAGCCTAGCCATTGAGCCTTAGGGTCACGATTTCTTAAAATTGGGGTAGAGAACCCTGAGGCCCTCGCACAACTCGTGAATCACAGCAGCAAATATATTCATGATATATCATCTTGAAAGGTCACAAACATTCTGTAATCTCTAACAAGTGTAGCAAGCTCACCCATGAACCTCATGAACCCTTATGGGCCTACGCGCCATCCTCGACCACCCTCTCCCTTTCCAACCTCGACCGCGTGGAGCCCCTGTGAGTTTTGTTTTGGCTTTTGTTCTGCCACCCGCTGTTTTGGTTTTGATTGCTAGGTCCTGCTAGGTCTGAGAGCTTGGAAGCTTCGCACCGGGCGCTGGGGTTTGGCATCATCACATAGGAAAGCCCCGCTAAAACTTCGGTTGTTCCAATGTCGCTGGCGTGGTTGGGTTCCCAGAACCTGAAAATAGTGGTATTCCTTTAAGGTCATTTCTCGAAATGCTACTCATCCAAAAATGTGTCGCGGAATGCGCGTAGTTGGGGTCCCAACTCATCTAAGGTAAAGGTATGCTATAAACGACGAAAAGGGGCAGACGTTGAGTTTTCAACAGACACGCAGCTAAAGTTCATACTAAATCACTAAATCTCTTCCAGGGCCGACATGTGCTAATACTAGTGGGAAGACATGTGGGTTGAGATTGAAGGGTTGAGGGTTAAGGTTGAAACCTTGGGATGTGGGGAAATGAAACCCCCAGGACTACAAACCTTTGGGCCTGCATCTGGTGACTGACTGTGCGGAAAACCCCGGCTCGTGCACATTCATTTTGGCTAACGCCGTACTAGCGCCAGCAACCCACTGTTTTGCACCCCCAAAGCTCGCCAAAACCATGTTTGTGGGCACAGCGTTTTAAGCCCCTACGGGTGTCAAACCATACTTAATTCCCATCCCGCTCGGCTCGAAAAGAGAGGGTTGGGAACAATGGTTTCCAGCCCCCAAGCCGAGCCAACACCTAGTTCCCAACAAGGTTTTCTGGACGGCCATTCTTCAGCGGCTCTGACCGTCCATGGGCTAACTTGGGGCTAAATGCCTGCATAATTATCTTTCTGCTTGTTCAAGCATATCTACACTTCTTAGTCTGAGTGCTAGCGTGAAGCTAGCTCCTAGCACTATACTAGCGCCACATTTTATTGCTTAAGGAGCTGTACTTGGGGGGCCGCCTCATAACGAAGACACAAAGTTAATATAAACATAGATCATGGTTCTTGTGTCTTTCTTGTAAAAATCAAAAAAAGGGCTTTGTGACGGAGTACTAAGGAGATGCCTAGGGCCTAGGGCTACGGGTCTGAGCACGACTCGGCCGTGCCGAGGCGGGGCATTGACACGGATTAATTAAATGGGGGCATGCCATTCTTCTCAGAGACCACCATTGAGGGATTGGAAATTAAACTGAGGTGGAACGTGATGTCCCGTCGAACATCACACGTGCTGCCCAAGCCCAAGCCTTGGCCGAATAGTGCAGTCATTTTTTCTTGAGCTGGCGGGTACTGGATGCCCTCCTTGTGCAAGATCAAGTCGTACTTAATACCAAGCTTGATGATCTCCAAAATGAGATTCTCCTCTCCACAGCATTGATGGACCAGCGCATCTACCACATCTACTGCATGCTAAAACATGTGAAGCCGTCATGCGCCAAGAACTCGCAACAGAAATCCTGCATCCGGATCTGGGCGATGTTCCCACGCTTGACTTTGCGATGCTGAAGCTCTGTCGCAATCTCATTCACAAGCGCGTGGCTGCAACCCAGCCCTGGACAAATCTGATTTTGATCAGTGTGGACGCTGCTACAAAGCCCCATGCATCCTGAGATGGGTTCGACAGATCCGAGTTGAGCATATGGTTCTCTTGATGTTGCCTGCACGCAGCAATTTTTCAATCTGAAGATTGCCTCCTCATCGTTGAGCTCAAGGGTGTGCGACGTACAGAAGCAGCACTGATCACAGGCATTCACAATGGAAAAGTTCTTCGTGTCCATTTGCTCAGAAGCCCCTGCATGCAATGTCTCACCGTGCGTGCCACCCGGAGGTAGTGTTGGCACGGCAAGGCCATAAACAGCCTGGAGCGTCTGCTGTGACGGGGGGTACTCGATGCCTTTCTTGTGCAAGAAAATGTCCGTGCGCACGTCCTAGGTGCAGGGTTTCCCGTCCAGATTCCCGGGGGGCCGCTTCGCATAATAACAAACATTCACATACAACGTCCTCAAGCCAAGGCTCGGCTTCCATGGCTTTGATCATGGTGTTTTCCTGGTTCCGAAGCTGCGCGATGTTGCCGCGCCCCACTTTGCGATTTTGCAGTTCCTCAGCAATTTCCTTTACAGCTGTGGGATCACCACAACATCCTGGAGCAAGTCCGTTCACAGTGTGTATGCAGCAGCAGCAAACATTCTCGTCCACAGACCCGAGTTGTGCATAGGGCTTCCTTTCCACGGAGGCGTCACATCTGTTGCTGTATCGAAACACTGCCTGCTCAGGCTCCAGCGTTAATGTGTAGGTTTCACAGCCTGCAATGCCACACGTGCAAAGAAGGCAACAAATGTTTGCCGTCTCGTTTCGAACATTGTACTCTTTTGTTTGAAAGTCCTCACTTGGCTTGGTGTGAGGAACCACTGAAGCGTGAGACAAGTCGGGCCCCGAAGATCCGTAGATGTTTCTCATTGTCTCCTGCGTTGGAGGGAAGGAGGTGTCTGCCCCTATCTTGTCCAGAATCAGTGCCAACTCTGCAGCCACATCGTGAAACTTTGCCATCATTTTCTCCAGCTGTTTTATTTGGCCAAGATTGCCCCGCACTTCGACTCGTGCTTGAAGATCGGCTCGTATTTGCTCCACCAGCGCGCCATTGCAGCCACAACCTGGCGATATTGCCTCGTCGATGGGCTTTCCTGGAGGTTTGGTGAGCTCTCCGGCCGTGAGCACCCGCAAGCAACAGCAAGCAGATACTGCATCCACCTTGCATGGGCAGAGTCAGCACATTCCCTGAAGCTCCTGCTGCCAAGGTGCCGACTCAATTTTTGCACTATTCTACTCATTAACTTCGTACTTCTCACCTAACATTCCACTGTGTTGAAGGGTGTGTCGCCATTGGGAGTTTTGTTCCCTTCGCGGTTGCCCTAAACCGAGAGTGCGTTAACACTGTTGCCGGGAAGACTTGAAGAGTTTGGGTTCTGGATGTGTCCCTCGATTGATGCCCCAAAAAGTTGATCAGAAGTTGCGTTTTGATTCTGATCGTTTTTTGGTTTGATGCGCTTTTGTCATTGGATTCTTCCCATGCTTTGCATACTGCTCGCTGCTTTGTGCGAACTGACACGTTCAATTGTTCAATCGTCTGTTTCAACTTCATCAGAACTTACACATATACTGAGGCCGGGACCGACTCGATATTTGCATACGGCACTTTGGACGTCATGACCTCTGGCATTGCAAGCAGAACAAGCCAAGTGTGTAACTGCAAATCGACAGATCGTCCTGTGTCTCAAGTCTTGGCCGCGAACGCTTCCAGAGAGACTCTGTCGAGTGGTAATACTCGCCTCGTCTGGCTGAAGCTCCAGGAGCCTCGACGTGCATGCCAGGCTTTGGCAGCAATGTGTCACATCCTGTGAGCGGGGACAACTTCAGTTGTGGGAGCTGCACGCATATGCACCCCCTCCAACTACAACGAGTGTCCTGCTAGCGGGCATTCGGAAAAATCAAATCCAGCACAGACAACGCACAGCACAAAGAATACTAAGATTTAGCAGAGCTTCGTACTGGTTGGTTCCAAACTCGGGTAGCGGCTCGAGCGAGATCACTTCAGAGAGTGGCCGCATCTCAGGAGCAGAGCCGGAGAACAAGCGCTGCAGCGTGGCGTCGCTTGGTGGATACTCGACTCCCAAAGATTTCAGAAGCATCGGCACCTTGATAGCCAACTGAGTAATCCTCTCCAACATGTATTTCTGCTGCCTCATTTGCGCCACTTTCCCACGACCCTCCTTCCTGAGATTCATCTCCCGCACAATCTCCTGAACATATGCTGCATCACAGCCGCATCCTGGAACGATGCCGCCGTTTCCCTCATCGTCCATCGGAGCAAGGTCTGAATTTATTGCATTGCACAACCCAAAGCAAACACTGCGGTGTTCCAGGGCATTCAACTGTGCATATGGCCGACGTTGAACAGAGGAAACGCAACAGTTTCGAGTCTTCAGGACAATCTCCTCACTCTGTAGCTCCAATGTTCGCCTGGCAACGCACATTGCTATAGCTGCTTGCTCTGATCATACTGAGCAAATCTGGCCACAAGACTGGCTACGGCTACGATCAGCTGCTTGTCCTATGCCCAGTCGATGCCTGGTGCAGATGCCGAGATAAGAAGTTCCGTATGCTTCACCACAATTTGTCACATCATAGACCTTCTCTGGAAATGTTTGCATCAGCACCTTCAGCAATTCATTCCAAGAAGTCACCGCGTCCAAGCAGACACTGCCACATGTGTGTGTGTGTGTGTGTCAAACTGTGTTGGGAAAGCAGGGTAAGGAGAACTGCGGGATGGCTTCAAAACGCTGTCGCGCACAAAAAGAAGATGTGCCCCGTCCAAACATGGAGGCGTTCGATGCCGTTCTGCCAGCCCCCCCCCCCCCTGCAGTTTCACAAAAAGTATGGGAATAGGCCCAACAGCAGGCCACGAAGCGATTCGGCCATCAGTGATGAAACGACCCTGCATCCCCCCCACTCCCCAACCCGGGCGGGGCGGAGGGGAGAACACGAAAGGTGATGGAGGCGGCTTGGGGGCCGAGATGCGTGCAAGTAGTCCAAGCCAGGATTCAACTTTCAAACACGTTCAGCGGCAGTGCCTGGGAAACCGCACGAAACCCACACAGGATGGACGGGCATGGATAAAGCAGCCAAAGCCAGCTGTCGTCATCGTTTGCGGCTTTGCTTCTCTTGCATTCTCTTATACGTCTTGCATTGTCTTATTCAGAACCCGCGACCAGTGGGAATGCTACCTGGCAAAAACGAAGTAGCACAGAAAAACGTTAATTTGAAAAAACTCCTTGAGATGCCAGAAAGCCAGTTGGAAGACTAATTCACGCACACAATGCAGAACCAAAATGAGCAAGATGGCTTAAGAGGAAGATTTGTATGGATTTTCGGAAGTCGATGAAGTCATAACTCCTCTTGCAAATCAAGGTCCGTCATTTCAACCTTCAAACATTACCACAAAGAGTTCCGTTTTTCAGTAGGTATGCTAGAGGAAAGATGCATGAACGCACAACTTTACTTCCTTTACTTGTATGACATGACCTGCATCTTGCCGGGCCAGGAAGACTTTTTTACATTGCCGACAATTCTTTCTAACAAGCTTCCTCGCTTCATTCTTCAACCCACTCTCACTTCCTGAATGAACCAAAGAAAAACTAAGTTAGCGGCATCTTCTTTTTTCTCTTCTTGTGGGTTGTCGTCTGACTTGTATGGTCGGGACTGGCCGCGAGAGCGGCCACAGCAAGAACGTCAACATTGCCAAAAGCACTGCTCCAGCGACTCTAGTGTGGCTTCGTGTCTTCCTTCGATACCGCTGCATGAACAAGTACAGATAAGTACAGTGCTCACAGTGTGCTTCACAGCAAGACTTGCTGTGCCAAGCCTCCATGATTCACAGCACTGCGCCCGAGCAAAAAGCCCTTGCCGTGCTTTGCTGAATCCGCTAACTCTCCGGGCCGGCTTTGTGCCAGGGGGGCTGCAAAGCACAAGGTGGACATGCTTGCTGAGTTGCGACAGCCGTCTTGCACAAAGTCTTGCATCCCGAAGCGCTAAGCCGCTAAGCCTCTTCATTTTGCGTCGCAGAAAGCTTTCATGCCAGAAGCTCCTCGTACAGGCCAGACCTGAAAAAAACGCCCCAGGAATCAGGAAATCGCAAGCAGCAACTTACATGGTCTTCAATCTTGGCATGAGCTTAGTGACTTAGTGCAGGGCTCCACCAGATGAGTCACTGTTGGATGGATGCCAACATAGCAAGGCGTTCTCCACCTGTATCGTCGGCATCGGCGGCAAAAAGGATGCCCCGCTAGGCGGTTGCGCTGCCAATAGTGACAACTGAAGGTCTCGGTCTCAATGTGTGTGCCCTAGTTTTGCAACTTCCATTTCTTGCCATATTCGTATTCCACCTTGACGTTTCATTGAGGTGGGGGTTGTGGTGGTGGTTGTGACGGTGGTGGGGAAGCTGCGGGAGCCCCGGTTGCCCAAGAGGGTTCAACATGAATGACGAGGATAATTATGATGAACTTCCCCTCACAAATTTACTTTAAACGTTTGCGCTGCCCCGGACCAACCAAACAACGACGAAAACGGAAGCTCCCCTCCACAGGACGTCCCATGCGAAACGCGCATTTTCCGAAAAATTGACAAAACATAATTAACTGTTTAACCCAAAAAGAATGCTTCCAGTATCAAAACGCCGATGTACAATACCATAAAATTGCTTCTGTACTACGCAGACAGCACGAAATGTATTCGCACACGCAGCACGTCCGCTCGTCGTCGTCGTCGTCGTCGTCGTCGTCGTCGTCGTCGTCGTCGTCGTCGTCGTCGTCGTCGTCGTGGTCGTCGTCGTCGTCGTCGTCGTGGTCGTCGTCGTTCCTGCTGCAGCTCTTGTTGTTGGCTCGCTGTTCAGATTGGTTGTCGTCCTTGTGGTGATGGTGTTGTGGCGAGTTCGTTTCGCGCGCCCACATGGCAGGAAGGCACCACCACATAACCATGGGCGCCTAGCTGGACTACTGACTGCTTGACCTCACGATCACACTCTGCAGGTCATAGCGAGCTCAGCAAGCCCTCGACTTGCACTGAAACCACAACAATTTGGACGTGTCGATGCTGTAAACGACTCAAATGGCGTCAAGCGATTTGCAACTATAATGGGGACCGTCGATCTTGATGCTCGGAACCTGCAGTTACTGCTTCGTATACGGTGTTATGCTTATTTATGCTTTTTGCCTTTGTTGCCAGCCATCTCTCGCAAGCCACTGTTCGCGCATATTTCTGTTGCGTACTGGTCAGAGATCAACGCAGCTCGTTTTTCAACCTCCTACGCACGCAGCCACACTAAGCATGGGTGGACATCTTATTGGCACAAGCTGGCTTGCTGCACAGGAATCGCAAAGCTGAAGAATACGCAGCAAGCATACACAGTAGACGTTGTGGCGCAAGTGTGTTTTTTGCCACCCGCACTGCCTACGCTCACACGCGCAGGTGTAACTAGAGCTTTTAGGGTTCGCCGTCGCCGTACGCGTCGTCAGCCCCCGATCCCGACTCAAACGGCCCGTCCCAAACCTGCGGGGCTCCCGTGAGTGCCCGATCTGCGTACATCTTTATCCTTGCAAAAGACGCACGGGCAGACACTTGAGAGCTCCGGCACACGTGCTCCACCTGGTGCTTGCTGTGGACAAGTCATCGCATGTCAATGCTGCCTTTGCTCGTGCCATGCATGGTGGATTCCAAAGCAGCCCGATGCCAACCAGAAGTGCCAGGGCGACTTCATGACGGCGAGGGAAGATTCCGGGAAGATCTGGATTGGCAGAGGGCACGACTCCCGGCGCTGTCGCTAGGTCGTCGTCCCACCCCATTGCTGAAGCGTCAGAAATACACATCAGCAGCGGAATTGACCAAGAGAATCCTCAAGTAGACGCTTGTTTTTGAGCTATCCACGAAAAGAATATGGATGGAGCTGTTTGATTTTCGGACGCCCACATTTTTTGTATGTAGTCCAACAAGCAAATCCTCAACTAGACGCTGGGTTTGATCCATGAACAGGATGGAATGGTATGCTACATCATCACTTCGCGCGAAATGCGGGACCCCGAGCGATGTGTTAAAAGACAGGCGATTTGAGGTAGGTAGTTGGTGGCGGTGTTGGTGTTGAATGCAGTTGCTGCTGCCTTTCTTGCTATTCTTGATTAATCCCTTTTTGGAGAGCCCCTCTGAAGCCGGACCTTGGAATACTAAACTTTCCCAGTCAAAGGCGACAGAAAAACTGCAGCTACTTGCACCGCTTTCAGAACTTGCCCGCGAATATGATGGTGCTGCTGAGCATCTAACGCTTTCGCCATCCCTCACCTCACTCCGAAAAACCGTTTCCTGTTGCACCCTCACTACGGCGGCCTGGGCACATTCGTGTGCAAGCGATGAAGGACCTCCGGTGGCACAGCGCAACCATCAAGGTGAAAACAATGAAACGTGCTTTGTTCTGCACTCGTGGACGTGTTCCACACTTCCTGCACTAGACTAGCTAAACCCCCCCAAGCATTTCGCAGAGGCATGCTCGGCTGACCTCTAAACCAAAGTCACGCAGCAACCGGGCGCCCTAAGTGGATAGATCGAGGAATCGAGAAGGTGGCGCCCTGAGTCCAATTCGGGATTCCTTGATAAAAACAAGGCTCGTCGGCACTGCAAGAAGCAACTCCGTGAAGTATCCTCCAACATCCCCAAACCACTTGTAACTGTCGATTCGTAACTTTCGTGGATATTCTGTGCCTGGATACTCTGTGACTGTGTGTCTGCGGGCACTTTAAGGGCCTCCAGGCATCGTCTTCGGGGTGCCCTCCAGGGATCATGTCGACTGCCACTCCCTCTGCGTGTGGAACCAGGCATTTTCTCAGGCGTGGAACTCCAGCCCTCGTGGGCACTCCCTGATACTCAGATACTCTTCAGGTACTCTTCGGGTGCCTCAGTGGGGGGTGGGCTTTCCAGGATTCTTGGCAAAGTTTTTACGTCAGGACGCGATCAGAAGACGCAGGCAAGTACCGGAGACCTGCACGAGGAGAATAGCTGAGGTTAGCATCGAATCCTTTATTCCGATCTTGCTAAAACCAAATTGGCGCTCTCGTGATTCTTGTGGGATCTCTCAAGCATGCACTCCAGATACTCCAGGAACGTGGGCACTCCATCGACACTCTGTGGGATTCTGCTGTCCATGGGGTGGGCACTCCAGAGATACTCTATTCTCAGAGGCTGGGCACTGCAAGGCCAAGAAATTTGCAGGATTCTCTGCGGATGTCGGGGCAGGAGATCCTGGCCAGGTGACGCGGGTAAGGAGTACAGGAGGCCCAAGCGCAGGAAAACAGCCTAGTCAAACCTAACAGCCCCTCAACGAAGGTGGGGAACAACCCACAGATACCCCAGAAGAGGGTGGAGAAACAAATTGAAGAAAATCGCTTGGCTTGCATCTCCGTCCTGAGGCTGAAGCCAAAACATGCTTTGTCCCCGAGATGTTGACTCATTGATTTGAGAGACTTTGGAGAGAAAAGAAAGAACACGTTCATGTCGGTCACGGGGCATTCGACTGGCATCCAGCATTCGCCTTCCACTTGGCCATCTGCTGTCGCCGTGCGTCTGGCTCCTGCAGACTGTATCCTTCGAAGAACACGCGAAGAACCTCCAACCTTGCCTTCTCACCAGGCCGACGAGCGGTCGCATTGAAGAGGTGCAGCAGTAGAACCTGGCTGCGATACTGAAGCGCGGTTGCTTAAACATGCGGGAGAAAGCGGATAAAACAAATGAAGCCAACAAAAACAAATTACACCACCGAAGACCCCAAACAGTAGAAGGAAGTTACACGTGTAAAGTGAGGTTCCTTCATACTACACGCGAGCCACTGCACCTAACTTGGCTGGGGCAACAACCGACAACGCAGGAACCTAAAAGTTTGTTCCAGCCAGACCTCTACGGAGTAGAGGCGAGCCACCGCGCACGAGCCACCGCACGCAAGCCACCGCACGCGAGCCACCGAACGCGAGCCACCGCACGCGAGCCACCGCGCGCGAGCCACCGCGCGCGAGCCACCGCGCGCGAGCCACCGCGCGCGAGCCACCGCGCGCGAGCCACCGCACGCGAGCCACCGCACGCGAGACACCGCACCTACATTGGCTGATCAACAGTTGAGTTGACAACACAAGAACCCAACAATTGACAACGCAGGAACCTGAAGGTTTGTTGCAATCCAGGAACTATAGCGAGCCACCGCGCGCGAGCCACCGCACGCGAGCTACCGCGCGCGAGCTAGCCACTGCACACGAGCCACCTCGCGCGAGCCTCGCGAGCCACCGCGCGCGAGCCACCTCACGCGAGCCACCGCGCGCGAGCCACGCACCTAAATTTGGCAGGGGCAACAGCTGACATCTAAAGGTTTTTTGCGTGGTACTCACACAAATGCAACCCAGGAACTGTTCAGGCAGCCATTCACAAGTCCGTCACGTCTTCTATATAGTTTAGCCACTGCAGACGGCAACAGCGAAAAAAGTTGCAGACGAAAAGGGTGGGCATGCACTGCAGAACACGCATTACTGCAGATGGTTTTCAACAGGATTCTTATGCGTTATGCTTGCCCGGCTAAAAAAGCGGGGGGGTTGGGGGCCCATTTGCAAACACAACGCTCGCGTGATGGGCGCGCTTGCAGGGCTGAAAAAAAAGCGGGGGGTTGGGGGGGCATAGCCCCCACCCCCCCCCACCCCCCATGTGCAAGCGCAATGGCTTTCAACAAGATTCATACGCTTTGTGCTCGCACGGCCACAGAAGCGGGGGGGTTGAGGGGGGGGGGGGGCGCAGCCCCGCCCCCCCCCCCCCCCCACACCGCTCGCGCGATGGATTTCAATAAGATTGCTTGCTTGCGCGCGGGATGGCTTTGCTGCGCTCCTGCTTGCTTGCTTGCTTGCTTGCTTGCTTGCTTGCTTGCTTGCTTGCTTGCTTGCTTCGCTTGCTCCCGTTGCCGCTTGGTTACTTGCTTGCTTGCTTTCGCGCGATGGGCTTCACTAAGGTTGCTGGCTTGCTTGCTTGCTTGCGCGCGGGTTGCGCTCCTGCTTGCTGGCTTGCTTGTTTGCTTGCTTGTTTGCTTGCTTGTTTGCTTGCTTGTTTGCTTGCTTGCTTGCGGGAACCCAGCAGAGGCCACCCGCATGAAGGGACACAAAGGGACACAAAGGGACACCAAGGGAGACAAAGGGAGACAAAGGGAGAGGAAGACAAAGGGAGACAAAGGGAGACAAGGGAGACAAAGGGAGACAAAGGGAGACAAAGGGAGACAAAGGGAGACAAAGGGAGACAAAGGGAGACAAAGGAAGACAAAGAGAGACAAAGGGAGACAAGATGCTCAGGAACCCGGCAAAGACCACCCACATGAAGGGAGACAAAGAGGGGGACAAAGGGAGACAAAGGGAGACAAGACGCTCAAGACCCACAAAGAGAGACAAAGCGAAACAAAACGCTCAGGAACCCGGCAAAGGCCACCCACATGAAGGGAGACAAAGGGAAACAAAAGGAGACAAGACGCTCAGGAACCCGGCAAAGACCACCCCCTTGAAGGGAGACAAAAGGAGACAAAGGGAGAGAAGACGGTCAGGATTCCGGTAAAGGCCACCCACATGAAGGGAGACAAAGGGAGACAAAGACAAGACGCTCAGGAACCCGGCAAAGCAAAGGGAGACAAAGGGAGACAAGACGCCCAGGAACCCGGCAAGGCCACCCACATGAAGGGAGACGACAAAGGGAGACAAAGGGAGACACAGGAAGACAAGACGCCCAGGACCCGGAAAAGGCTACCCACACACACAGGGAGACAAACGCCCAGGAGCCCGGCAAAGGCCACCCACCAGAAGGGAGACAAAGGGAGACAAGCGGAGAGAGGGAGACAAAGAGAGACAAAAGGAGACAAAGGGAGACAAAGGGAAACAAGACGCCCAGGAACCCGGCAAAGCCACCCCCATAAGGGAGACGAAGGGAGACAAAGGGAAACACAGGGAGACAAGACGCCCGGGAACCCGGCAAAGGCCACCCACATGAAGGGAGACAAAGGGAGACAAAGACTAGACGCTCAGGAACCCGGCAAAGGCCACCCACATGAAGGGAGACAAAGGGAGACAAAAGGAGACAAGACGCTCAGGAACCCGGCAAAGGCCACCCCCTGAAGGGAGACAAAAGGAGACAAAGGGAGAGAAGACGGTCAGGATTCCGGTAAAGGCCACCCACATGAAGGGAGACAAAAGGAGACAAAGACAAGACGCTCAGGAACCCGGCAAAGCAAAGGGAGACAAAGGGAGACAAGACGCCCATGAAGGGAGACAAAAAGAGACAAAGGGAGACAAAGGGAGACAAAGGGAAACAAGACGCCCAGGAACCCGGCAAAGGCCACCCACATGAAGGGAGACAAAGGGAGACAAAGGAAGACACAAAGGGAGACAAAGGGAGACAAAGGGAGACAAAGGGAAACAAAGGAAGACAAGACGCTCAGGAAGCCGGCAAAGGCCACCCACACGAAGGGAGACAAAGGGAAGCAAAGGGAGACAAGAAGTCCAGGAAGCCGGCAAAGGCCATCCACATGAAGATGAAGGGAGACAAGGGGAGACAAAGGGAGACAAGAAGCCCAGGAACCCGCCAATGGCCACCCACATGAAGGGAGACAAAGGGAGACAAAGGGAGACAAAGGGAGACAAAGGGAGACAAAGGGAGACATGGTGCCCAGGAACCCGGCAATGCTCACCAGAATGCCGGCAATTCCTTAAACGAATTTTAGGACCCCAACAGTAGAACTGTTTGGGAAAAACAACAAATCCACACTTCTGTCGAGATCTTTAGAGACATTCATTGCTATTCCCGGAGCCTCAGGCCCCCTGCAAGCATCTGGAGCAACATGGAGGGAGCAAATCCGGCTAAGGCTGGCAACGTCTGTTCGTGCGGGACGACCGGACAGCCCAATCAATTGGCACCCCAAGCCCACGAACTGTCTCCCCCGATTGAAGGTGTTCAACCCGATTGAGCAGAAGACCTGGCTCCCTGCGGAGGCATGGGCAGCCCCCCCTGGGCAGTCCTGTGAGTGCCTGAAGCTTACAAGCCTAGGGAGCTTCAGCCGGTGTGATAGCATTCATACTACTTGGTGTCCGGACATGCCCGGACTTCTGTTTCGTGGGTAAAACCCGAAGAACACAGAAGCAAAAGAAATCCTCCTGACTGGTCAGGTTTTGTGGGAGAACTGCTGAAGTAGGAAGAAGGCTTGGGGATGGACCGGAAACGGCCGCTAAGCCGCTAAACTGCATGCGCTAAGGCTTCGATCCAAGGCTCCCTTGGTGCTGGTCTTGCCCTTCACTTCTAGATGCGCAACACCGCGAGCACTTGACAGCGCCTGCTTCTCACCATGGGCGAGGCCCTTAGCCACAACTTACCATCCAGCCCAGCCCTCACTCTGCCGCCCAAGATTTTGCAAGAGCATGACATTGGTGAGCGAAGGATTGCTTCAGCATGATGGTTCGACTTGGTTCATCGCCGAGCCCAATGCTGCAGAGATGGCAGGGGTGAAATGCAGCAAGAGCGCCTGAAACGGAGAATGGGCAGCTTCACAGAAACGGCGTCAGTCGTGTGTCAGCCATGTGTCAGACTGCGACAGCAAGCATAGGCCTGATGCCTTTGCTTCTCGAGAGATCCACCCCAGCCTATGCAGAGCCGGTTCCTGTCGCCCTCTGGCACTCAGTCGCAAACAACGCCTGCCAAGGTGACATACTCCAAGTCGGTTCCCAGCACAGCGTATGATACCTGCTAGGGAACCACGAATATTCAATCATTCAAAGTTGGCTTTCATAATATCACCATGAAATGCTACAGGGCACCCGTGCAGCTGTCGGCAGTACTGAACTGTCGGGCAACTGCGGCTCAAGTATCGAATGTCCAAGAAAAGCATCCAAACCTCGGCCATGGTTTGCTAGGTTTGCTGTCATCTCGCGGTTTTGTGCGGCACGTGCACATCTTTCGGAAGCCGGCAACTTCAGCATGATGGCACTGGGTGTAGATTTTTTTAATAACACGCCGCATCATGTGCTTATGTTAAAGGCTACTGGTAACCAGCAGGCATGACTCCGTGTGTGACACCAAGATGATCCAGGATGCTGTGGTGCAGAGTGGTGCCCTGCCGAATGACTTGGGTTCGGCAGTCTTTGGCACTGGGCCCGATCCGTTGAACATCACATATACATCATTAGAGACCCGAAGGGACGGCTGCTATGGTAGGACCTGGTACTGGTAGCCTGGGATGGTGCAGGCGGCTCGAGAGAATTGTTCAGCGTTCATGTTTTCATCACGCTATCCATACTTCTGGGGGTTGAATTCGAGGAAGCATTTTCACATGATGGCCAGATAGCCCCAAGAAACGGCCACGGTATGATGAGCTACGATCACTTGTTGACTGCAGCACGTGCTCCACTGAGCTTCCGGCCGTTCTGAAAATGTCCTGCCCACATCTGCCCATGCCACATGAATGTGTACACTCGCTCTACTGCTATGCTCAGCACATCCATCAAAGTGATGCTCAGCCGGAGGCCGTACGGATATTTGTGGAGCCATTCTATAAAATGCCTGACCAATGCCATGGTAGCAGTGCCCTTGCACACTGCAGATGAACCGTGAAGAGTAGCACGTGTGCAGGCAAGAGGCAGGACCCACAGCAATGCCTGGTCGCTTGCCCGGACCTGCCAACGAAGGGCGCATGTCTGCTGATGGTTCCTGGATCCAGTAATTAGCTCTCGCATGTTCTCTGCCATTTCTCTTTCAAAGACCAGGCATTTCAGACATTCAAGTCCATGATGCAGTCGGCCCCTACGGCAATTCAAAAAAACTTGCAGAGTCTACACGAGATGACACCAACGCGACTGCTACGATTCATGGCCAAACAGGGTCGTGGGGTGGGACATCGACGGACGTCTTGGCCAGCTCTGACTGCGACGTGAAACCCTGACTTGAAGCCTCCTGACACTCAAGCGAGCCCGCTGAGCAAAGAGTACACCAGCATTCAAACAAGTACCATCAAAGTGGTCGGTCGCCTGGGCTCAGGCTACCAAAGGTGCAGATGCAATTAAGTTGTCTGCGTTGCTTCTAGGGGGGCCGCTGCCACATCCAAAGGTAATGCCTTGCTGTACACTGTTTCCAGAATTCTCGCTGTCGGGTCCTCCGGCTGCTAAAACGAAACATTGAGGCGACTGGACGTTGCCTTGCCTGGAACATGAAAACATCCAGATCCAAAGAGATAACATCCAAACCTTGAAAGCACATTGCTGACAAAGCCTTTTCGGCTCGACCCGTTCACAAGTGCAGGCACGCCCCTGGAATCCAAGCCCACTGCCAAGGGAAAGAAATATCGGCAGGAGGTAGAACTTTGCCTTAGCAGCCAGTAACACTTCCAGAACAGTTGGCTGAGCCCTGCACAAAGCACCTTGTCGTGAACATCCAGTGGTCTGGCAGCGGGGCTTGAGAACCACAGGCCTCCGACATCCACTGACTCCTACTTTGTATGAAGGCGCAATGCGCTTAGCCCTGTGGATGTTGCGCATGGGTTCAGACTAGGACGCAAACAGAGCAAGTCTGACAATCTCTGGCGGGTCTGTCGTACGTCTTCGCAGAGTGCCATCCACCTTAGAGGTGCGGGCATGTGCCGACGAGGCTGTCGTAACAATAAAGTAGGAATGCCATCATCGCAGCGCCTTTTGTGCATAGCGCCGGTGCGCACTGCTAAGGCCAGTTGCTGTGCCGCCGGCGTGGCAAAAACTAGGCGAGGAATCCTGATACCAGCCGTTGGCAGCCGCTCTCACACGTTGCGGACCCTTTGAAAGCCCCAACCTACAAACCTTGCTTAGTTAGGCTTAGTTGAGTAATTTGTTGAATATAACAAGCAACGGCCGGCCTCAAGTCCAAAGCACGATGTAGGAAATATGGCACCCAGCGCGCATCCATGGATCCATACCCAATGGCAAGGTATACAGGAACCGCTGAAGCACCATACCTGCACAACTCAATAGTGGTCATGTACGACTTATGACGGAGCATGTTCAAGTGCATAGGGCGCGTGGTCTCAAGGCGAGCAAACACAAAGAACAAACAACCAAGCAAGCAAGGATTTCAAGCAACCAAACAAAGAAACAGAGAAACAAAGAAACAAAGAAACAAAGAAACAAAGAAACAAAAAAACAAAGAAACAAAGAAAAAAAGAAAAAAAGAAAAAAAGAAACAATGAAACAAAGAAACAAAGAGGCAAGGACACAAAGAAACAAAGAAACAAAGAAACAAAGAAACGAAGAAACACACAAACGCACAAACGCACAAACGCACAAACGCACAAACGCACAAACGCACAAACGCACAAACGCACAAACGCACAACCACACAAACGCACAAACACACAAACACACAAACACACAAACACACAAGCACACACAAGCACACACAAGCACACACAAGCGCACACAAGCACACACAAGCACACACAAGCACACACAAACACACAAGCACACACAAGCACACAAACACACAAACACACAAACACACAAACACACAAACACACAAACACACAAACACACAAACACACAAACACACAAACACACAAGCACACAAGCACACAAGCACACAAGCACACAAACACACAAACACACAAACATACAAACACACACAAAACACAAACACCCAAACACAAACACACAAACACACACACACACACACACACACACACACACACACACACACAGAGAGAAATCACACACACACACACAACACACCACTTTACCAACATTAGCGGGGAGGACATTCTGTGCCTGATGCAGCCTCAGTCAAACTATATACCTGTTCACTGCTGACGGCGCATTACGGAAACCACAAAGCAGTGCCGTCCGGGCACGCCTGCGTCCGCAATTTGGATGATCCCGATGACATGTCTGTGCTCGCACTCACTCATGTCACAAAGCCTACTGCAGATGATCCCGATGAATGAGTATCGCAGTCAGCAGAGCTCAGTCAATCCCGGATGCCCGGGTCTTCGGGGATCTGGCCCCATGACGGGACAACACGCCAGAACCATACACACGTTGATTTGTCTATGGACAGGTGACAGACCATCATCCTGACAGACTGAGCAATGAAGGTGAATGATAATTTGGTTCCAAAGGCACGCCAGACACCGGGAATGGCATACCTGCAAAACAGAATGAAGATGATGCGTAAGGGTGCGGGTCTTGCCCTTGCTGTGCCAGACACCGGGAATGACACAGCACGAAAATGAGATGACCGTGAAAATGAGATGATGCTCCCCAAGCTACTATCCTCGAGGATCCATTGGCAAGCATGCAGGTACGTTTGCCTGGGGAGGGCGTTGGACAGGGCTCCCCACCCTCCCCCCCTTCCCCCGGCAAGTGGGTGTGAACCCATGCTTGTATGTACAACAAGTTGCACACACACACACAACACACACGCCAGGTGGGTAGCGAGGGTATAAGGATTGTCATGTATACTGTATACCGGCGTATCCCGGGGAAATGGCCAGAGTTCCAGACACTACACTGTTGCAGAGGCCGAGCCCGATGAGCTTGAAAACACGTCACCCAAAACACCGTCGGCTTACCATGTCGCAAAACCAACTTGAGGGGCAAGTCGAGGCCAACGAAAGCTAGCAGACTCCTCTGAGTATGAAACACGCTAATGAAATTACACCCTATCCACATTGAGCACCAAACCTCACCATCCATATTGATCAGCCCGTTTAAATGAGGATGATGCTCATTGCGCACCGCCCCCACGCACCTACCCCACCCTGCACTCGGGGTGTTGGGCTGACAGCAAAAAACAGTGCACGAACTAACCCTCCCTAGCCACTAAACCACAAACCTCTCAAACACTTAGTTGAACAAACCCAAAGTCCTCCAGCACCAACACCCTAAGCGAGAGAACGGCTGCCCCGAAAGCATTTTCAAGCCACGATCCCCCCCCATCTGTGTTGCGTGTCAGAGCCCTGCGGTGTGCTTGAGAAGATGTTTTGCCACCCTGCGGTGTGCTTCAGAAAATGGGTTGTGTCAATGTAGAAGGTTAGGAAGGTGAGGCCCTTCTCTTTGCTTACATTCTGGTTTAAGTTTAGTGGATTGGGAAGATGAGTTCTTACGCCGCGTTGTCAGGCCATCCTCAGGCTATGGCTCCTGGGTCCTTTTTTTGGGGCACCCAGGAGTTCTTGGAGCGAACAGCGGCGCCCGTCATCGACCCCCTCTTTTGCTTTTTGGGAAACGAGACTTCGATTGTTTGTGGGGGTGCCGAGCACCCCAAAAATGAGCGCGCATCATGAGCATCAGCAGCTCGGTCCCAGAGCCTCGGAAGCATCCGATGGTTTTGACGTGTTTTTTCGATGGTTTCTTGTTCGAACACCGCCACCAAGAAGCCGGAGACACTGAGCCACTGATGCTCATGATGCGTGGGGGGGAGTGTCACCGGGACCAAACGGTGCAGCATCCCAAAACACATGAACACAAATGGGGCTATTGCTTCTGGGTGTTTTGAGTACCATTGTGGGGGGCCTTGGCCTTGGAATGACCCAAATCTGACCCAAACCCCCATGCACATCAAGGAGGTAAACAAGCCCCGCAGAGGGACCTTCTCTGTGCAAATGTAGTGCTTTACAGTCGTTCCGTTGTTGTCTTGTTCTCCTGTTTTTTCTTACTTACATGTAGACAAGATGCACAGCAGATACGCGCGAAACAACCTATTGTGTGTGTGTTGTTTGTTTGTACTTGCGTTTTGGGTGTGTTTGTATTCGTTGGCTGTTTTTGTATGTGTACTTGTATTGTTATTGTGGTTCTTACGCACTATTGTTGGCCAGAGGTCCCTGTATTTGGGTTTCGTCAAGAACTAGTGACACTAGGATTTTGCAAAAAGACTATATTTTGCTGGCAAAAGGCACGCTCCCTTCTAAGGAAACGTGCTTATGCTGCGAAAATGCAGTGTCCTGCGGTTTAACGTTCTGAAGATCTATCCGACATCCACATAATTTGAGAGTATCCTTGGCAAGCCACGCGGTTAAGTCTCAGGATTTGCGAGCCTAGAGAGATTTTTATGAAGAACTCGATACAACATCTTCTTGTTCATGAGTATTTGTGGGAAGGCACTCTTACTTTTTTCGGGCTTGTCGCTTATGGAAATGCAAACATAAGGTAGTTGTACATGTCCTGCTTGTATGATAGGGGACACCACGAAGGGGAATACCGTGAGCAGATAGCAAGCGTTTTCTATTTCCGGAATGCCAGGGACTGCAGCCAATACCTCCCGGCCCAAAACTGCTACTGGGGAGTCGGGAGTCAGGGTCCCCATGGCACATGCTATATGCTTAAGGATGGAGGCTGGACAGGGAATGTCAGGGTGGGAGGGTAAGAGGCCGGGATAATCTGCGCTAAAGAAACAGATGTAAACCTCCACATGCCTGAAATCCCATATAAAGGCCTTGGGAACTGGGAATCCAGGGCGTGAGGGCCGTCGTGGAAGTCTATGTAGGCCCTGGGGCGGGGGCGGGGGGGTGGGGGGAGGGAGAAAACACATTTCACAAAACTCCCAAAAACACTTTTTTGCTTTGCCCGCCCGACACCCGAAAATCTTCGCACGATCGAGTTAAACGCTAATACGGGTCTCGTGTAGGGATTTCATGGGTGTGTCGTGGTGTTTCTGAGGAGGCTATACATAGTCGAGAGGCAGAGGCATGGACGTCTTACAGAACTTCAGAAGCAGTTGCAAGATGTTATGTGGTTACATGCATGTACATGGATGATAGGAGTGCTATAATATGGTATTATGTAGGGCAGGTGAAGTTGGGAACACAAGACAGAGCCAAGAAGGAACATCCATCTCACACTATGATAAAACCGCAGAAACCACTGACACATTCCAACCTTACTAGGCCGACTAGGCCCCCAAACTCCAAGACACCGCGCATGCTCAGCTTTCCCAGAGCTTGGCTGTGCCTTGATACCCTTCAATACTAGCAATATATACCTTGAATCCAGGCCTTGAAGATTTGTGTAATCTTCCTACAGCTCAGTGCAGCCCTTTCTCGGGTCACGGCCTCGGTGTGCGGTGCAAGCGACCTGACCGCTCGCACCAAATGGTCTGAAATCGCCAATGGCAGCCAATGCATAACTTGAAGCCTTCGTCATGTGATCTGGAAAGGAGCCAACCTGTGCAAATTGTGCTTCACGGTCTCAAGGCCAAGAAGCACACATCTTTTGGGCACAGACGACAAACCTGTCGCCACAACCTTGATTGGCGGAGCTTTGCCAGGCATCTCGTGATGCACTGCACCCTGCATGTTGGGACTGCTGCGGTGACAGATCCCCACTGGAATGTACAACCTTCCAGGGCAGTAGTTGCAAGCAGCATCTGAGCGGAGAGTAGTTTAAACACAGGCACCTCCCATAGCTGCGATCGAGTCTGGTAGCCCTGCACAGAGTTCGGCTGGCACTGGCTACAGTACTCAGTTGGCACACATGCCCAACCGATCCCAACCACAAGCCTCATGAAAACTCTGCAGCAAGCTGCATCCGGACTTGCAGTCTTGCAAACGTTCTTCGACCTTGCATGGTGCATGATCGGCACGGCCAAAGTAAAGCAAGCCAGTGCACGCTCAGGGTTGCTCTTGCTGGAGTGCCTTTCTGAGCACTTTGCGCACCTGCTCGTGCCGATTCGTGCCGGTTGTTCTACAATAAAAATGCAACTGCAGCCTACGACACATGTTAATTTGTTGAGAGTCGCATGCCACCACAGCCCGCGACCTCCTCTCGTTTGATGTCTAGGAACAGGTCATGCCTTGACGGCATGTCCGAACATTGCCGAACAAACGCTCCAACCGACTTCGACCATGATGAGTCATGTGATGCCAACCAAGATGATTCAATGACTTTGGGCTGATGCGAACGCCACGCGATGTAGTGGGATGCAGCCACTGCAGCAGCAAAAACCTTAGTGGGAAGGGACCAACCTGAAAACATCGTTCATGGCGTTGATATCTAAGATAATCTAAGATGCTCTGAGAGAGTAGCAGCAGAGGTCTCTGTCACGCGGACAAAGGACATGTGTGTAACAAACTTGGCCAACCTGAGAAATGGGAGCACAAACAATCGCAGCAAGTTTCAGCAGCTATACCCTGTTGTATGTTGCTGTGATGTGGTTGTCACGCTGAGAGTCCTGCTCGCTCAGCCGGGGCCCTGCAGTGTCAGAGCAAGTTGCGATGGGAGTGAAGCCCTGACATGAACTCCTGATCTCCACAGATGAGGGCTGTATGTACCGCAGAAACATGAAGGTGACCAACGCAAGGTACTGCAGCAACCATTGTGCCTGTCATCCCTGCTTTGGTACCGATTTCAACTTCGAAGGGTTGCTTGTCGATACAAAAAAAGCGCTTCTCCATTCAGCCCCAGCTGAACTCCGTTTACAATGGATGTTTAGCCCCCCCCTCCCCCCCCCTCCCCCACACTGTCTTCTGTGGACACCTGTTTCAACATCGATTCGATTTTCGAGAACCTTATGTGCAAACCCATCTGCGCTCCCTACACAACATTCAACAGATCAACAACTGCGGCGTACGAGCATGAGCATGCTGTACCTGCATTAATTAGTACACTAGCCTCTCGGTACCCCCCGGTGCGGGAAGGGTCATGGGTAATAGTCAATAGCTGCGAGACGGAATAGCATCCTAGGGTAGCTTATTCCCTCACAATGTCACCAGGCACTAGCGCTCGGACCAGATCACATTTTAGCCGTTTGGACAGATCCCACTTGCGTAGCTCGGAGGACACCTTCGATGTTTTAAGTTTTGTATAGCGACGAGAAGTAAAGCTAACATACACTGTCGTAACTCGCTTCGCGATTCACGAGTGCGTCTGCTGTGAATTTTCTGAATAAAAGTAAGCGCAACCCCCTGCGGTCACGAGATACCCACTCAGCCCGCAACGATGAAGTGGATCACGGGGTACTGGTGTGCCTAGCAATCGAATCCTCGCCATGAGCTCAGAGCTGGTGCTTCTCTCGTGCTTCAAAGTTCAGCGTCTTTGGACTTTGCCTGCTGCAATAGACGAACATGGGCGACTCAGGCTTGGACAGAAGAAGGGCTGCACCCTCAGCAGCCATAACCTTGCTGAAAGGCTCAACGGCATTGGCAGCATGAGCCTCTGAGGGGCACGCACTGCAGCACAGGCTGTTGAAAAGTCTGGCTCTGCTCGGGGTCCACCTGGAACATCCCGAAATCGTGCAGGCAACTGGCAACAATGTTACATCAGTACTAGCTCGCTGGCGCAGTCTAGGCGTGCACGGGGCCATGCTCAGCAACGCAACTGCAAAGTCGAGGCTCTGTTCATGAAAGTCGTTAGTGGACCTCACGCTTGCAGAGCATAGCTCGCAGCATAGTAGAGATGAGCCGAGTGACCGATAGCGGCACCATGCAACATGCATTGTGACACACTTACAATGTCAGATGCTGGCGTAGCGTGCTGGAGACAAAAAGGCCCAGCCTGGGTCGAAGCAAAATCACATCGAGGGTCTTTTGAAGTCTTTTGGCTCCGACCCGGTTCGAGTTCCGCACAGGACCTCCGCTGCCCCCGCTTTCTCATGCGGCCGCCACAGCAGCGGCATCAGACTAAGCGAAAAGTGCACATGGCAAGTCTGAGAAAGGTGATGCACATGCTGAGAGAGTGGCTGCTCCTGTGTTGCTGCTTCCACATGCGTCAAGAACTCCAAGACTTCTGGCCTATTTCAGCTGCTGGCGCTGTTTTCGGGCATCGGCACGTGATAGCTGGGGCCCTCACTGTGCACAGAGTTCTGTTGAGTTTGCATCCTTGGAACTCACTCTCTCTGCCTTCCTTCCTTCCTTCCTTCCTTCCTTCCTTCCTTCCTTCCTTCCTTCCTTCCTTCCTTCCTTCCTTCCTTCCTTCCTTCCTTCCTTCCTTCCAGCGCCCTTGGCACCCCCACCCCCCCCCACTGAGAGGGGCCGCCCGAAAGCGTTACCGGATTGTGGGTGAGAAGCCCAACCTCCTGGACTGCCGGGAATCAGCCTACCACATCCTACCACTAAACCCCTTCCCTCATACCATCTCTCCACCGATCCTCCTTTCGTCTTCTGTGGAAGGCAGTGGCTACTCATGGCAACTCTCTTCTTGTTCCTCTAGGGGCCACTCCCTCTCTCTCTCTCTCTCTCTCTCTCCGTCAGCTTTTCTTGCAAGACAAAGAAGCTGATTTCTGGGGCCCATGCGCTTGACCTGAGCCACACTTCAGGATACACGACGTGAGGCCCTTATGAAGCCCCGCAAATAGTTGCACCAAGAATGCAACAGCAGCAGCTGCCGCTGAAGAGAGAAGTGGTCGGATTCGCCGGCGCACGTGTACTGCCACTTCGCCTGAGAGGACACATGCTTTGCTAGGTGACCAGGTGCTTCCATGCTGCCCTCGGCACCGGGCGAGTAGAGAAGCAACTGGCCAAGCGGAAGTGCCAAGAACATACCTGGCAGGAGATCTGTTTCAAAATAATCCTTCCATCTCTTGCAGATCTGTGCGTGCAAGGGCATGGAGTGGCCGAGGAACGCCTTCCTTGCAATCAACAGCTTTTTTGCCGGGGGAGGGGGGCGGCTGCCAAGCTTAACCAAGGTCGAGGCCACACTTCGCCGAAAGCTGACCTTGGAAGTAAGACGCGCACTTTGCAGCTGCAGTTGTAGTCTTAACGGCACCGAAAGCTCACAGCATTGATCAAGGCACGGGCTCATCTTTGGCAGAGCACTCAGCAGTGCCTCGTGCATGAATTTTCTGTTGCAGACTCTTACAGGCTCCACCATCAGAACTTTGCTGCACGCACCAACTTGGAGTCGTGCATAAGAGAACCTCGTAGCATGTGTAATCAGGATTCTGTTGCGCAAGGTGCAAATCGGCACAAGCTTCTCACCAAAAGTACCGCGGAAACAGCGCCCAGTGCACATTCAGAAGATGCATCCGATAGTCCTCTGCAGCGGCGATGGCTGGGTAGTTGCTGTACGACGATAAAACTCAGTCGCGCGCTTCGAAGCACCACATGCTCGAAGGCAGGTGTCTGGCATGACCTCTGTAGCTCAAGTTCTGTGGAGCTTACCCAGCAAGCAGTGAGAGCATCTGTTGGGGAATCGTTTGTCAACCCAACCAACAATTTCGAGGTCTCTGCACTTCTGCACATGGATGCAGCTCCGGGCTGTGTGTGACGGAAGGGTCCAACCTTTTTCTGATGGTACGAGCTGTGTTTCATTCCGTTGGCCGCTGATACTGCGACTTGTTCAGCTTCGCATTGAAGTAGTACTGCTTTCCCCACTTCTTTGACATGCACCTTAGGAAGATCAGCAAGGTATCTCCCTGTCTTTGTCGACACTGATATCCGTTGAGGAAGATTGGGAAGTGTAGGATTTTGCATATGACACCGACATGATTTTGCGGCATCTTCGGCTTCGACGGAGCACATCATATCACATCATATGGACGAATGTTGCCGAAGCACCGCTGCCAGCCAGGTGGCAAGGTGTCCTCGCTGTCACCAAGCGGCCTGGACATGATCAACAGGGAGGGCCAGGGAGGGGATGGAGGGGATGGAGGGGTGGGGGTGGGGGGCAATCGTGCAAGCGCTGCAGAAGCAAGTGCGGTGCTCCGGGTTTTGAAGAGCGGGGGGCCGCCTGCTGTCCCTGACTTCACGTGTGCTGGTCATGACAAAGTGAAGCAAGTGAAGCAATGATTTTTCGCACAAGCACGTAAATATATGATAATATATGTAAATATGGATGGCCTGGCTGTGGCTTGTACGGCTTCTGTCGAAGCGAGGGCGGCTGGAGTTTGAGGAGGAGCACGTCTTGCAGTAGCAGGTGTTTGCGGAGGCGGAGGTTTGCACCGTTCTACTGGCAAAGCTGGAGTTGCAGGGTCTGGAATCGCACGTCTTCTGTCGACAAAAGGAGTTGCTGGATCTGCAGCATAAGGTTTTGGAACAGGTGCTGGAGTTACAGGCTCCGGCGCTGGCGTCCGTGGGTCAGGCACACGTCTGCCCATTGCAGTTTGCGCCGGGGTAGCTGGCTCGGCGACACTCTTGGCCAGTGCTGGTGTTGCCCCAGGCACACGTCTGCCCATTGCCGCTTGCGCAGGGGTAGCTGGTTCGGCGACACTCTTGGCCAGCGCTGGTGTGGCCGGTGGCCGCATGTTGTTTGCAGCCGGGGTTTGCGGCTCCTTCGAGCCATTGGGCCCGAAAGCGGGCATTTCAGGTTCAGCCATCTGCAGCCCCGGAACAGCCGGTGTAATGGGAGCAGATCCACCATGACGTCCGAAGCCTGCAGGAGTTTCAGGCACACACTGCTTTGGCAAAGCTGCAGGAGTCATTGGCGGTGGTACTTGTGGGATGTCGGAAGCTGCGCTGGTTGTGTCGGGGACGGTGCGTGACCAGTTTTCGGAAGCCCAATGCTTTGAGCTCTCCGAAGTCCACGTGGATGCCGAGTTCCATTCCGAGGCATCCCATCTATTCGAATCTGCATAATCTGCCCACTTCATCCATGGTTTGGCCTTAGGCTTCTCCTTCAGCTCCTTGCTGCTATGCCTGGGACAATGCAACAAGCACTTCAAGCACCTATCAATACCTATCACTTCTGAACACAACATAACTAACATAACACAATGCCGGCACACGCAGATTCCTGGCCTTTGATCGATCCAGTCGATGGCCTTTTGCACCAGATCTTTTGCACGTTTGCCGATGCCTTCAACGTCAGATTTCACACCAGTTCCGACAAAGACCAACCTGCGCAGCTTCTCCTCTTCATCGTGCCCGTCGTCGAAAAAGGCACATGTCTTCGTTTCCAGCATCAGCGCTTTCAGCTCAGCTAGGAACCATTTTGATTTCGAAGCTCGTTCATCTACCCACAAGGTGGCAGCATCCATCCGAGTTTCCAGGTCGGGCACCCTCGGGAATTGGCCTCGCAGTCAAGCTGCAAAGACACAATACATCACAACAAACTATTCTCCGTACAGGCACCTTCAGACTTGCCACGGAGGAAGTATGCATACTCTCGCGCCAGTTGCCTTTGCTGCCGATCTCCGGCCAGTAGCAGCCTCGGGCAGCCCAAAGCCCATCCTCACCCACACGTGCGTCACACAGTGCCCATTTGCTGCAGGGCTTCAAATCTGCCACGCAAGCTGCATGGCAATCGGTTGCGCCAGAGAGGATCTCCTGATCACAGCGGCCCGCGGCACAACCATACGACATCCGCGCGACTTGTCCCAAGCTCACGCACTCCACCGAGTCTCAAGGTTAAGGCGTTTAAGGCATCTGAAGCACTGGAGATGCTGTCAGAGCACCGCTTTGATGTTGCTGGCGTTCTCCTGGACAAGGTGCCCAAACTCAATGCTTTGTGTCTGTGTCCCAACCAGCCAAAGCGACCAAACAATGCACTTCTGCGTTCCTGAAATTCGAACGGCAAGCGCAGCCTGTCCAAGCCGTATTCAACCTGCTCCAACTTCTCCTGACAAGATCCCACCATGATTGCTTGGGGGAAATGCCCGACAACGCCAGGATCTCCTGCGGTTCCTTCGGCATGGCATATCCTGGCACCAGTCCTCGCACAATGGCTTGTTACGTGACGCGCATGTCTTGAGCTGCAGAATCTGCATGACCATACCGGACCATACTGGACCAACCATTGAGGCAGAGCGTCTCTCAATCGTCGCCAACATGCTGGCAAGGGCCTTCTTCTGGCCGAGAAGTGGTCCAAACACGGCAAACTCGGTCCCATCTTCTGCCTATCGCTTCTTAAAAAGTGCAGACATAGTTTGTGCCCCGATGGAGGCTTGCAAACTGCCAGGGGCTTGTGTGCTATGTGGTGCAGCAGGGCATCCATGCGAGTCCCATCCAATCGCACTTGCCTCGTACATGTTCCTCATGAAGTTGGCGATCTCCTCCGCATCACGCTTGTCTGATTCAACACCTGGGCCGAAGTTGAAATCTGAGCTGCACTACGGGCAGAACTCAAGCAAGCGGCTCTTGAAGTCCTTCACTTTAACGATGACCGTCTCGGTATCTCTCATCCTGAGTACATGCTTCAAGACAGCAACGCGGGAGCCCTAGATGCAGGCTGCATCATGCAGCCGGCCCGCAGCTTCTGTAGGTTTTGGCGTTGTTTTCCCATGATTTGACCGACGGCCTCGAAGCACTTGCGAGCCCCTCTAGCACGAGTCACTGTTAGACACGACGGGAGTGGCAACAATACATTTTTTCAATGGTTGCTGCCACACCTGTTGCGGAATCTTCACCGCCGTGCAGTCACTGGTCAGTTTTGATGGCACAGAACCGGCAGATTTTGCATCCATGCTCTGCAGAAACATCCTGGCAAAGGCAAGCTGCAGGAATCATGAAAAAAAACACTGAGCTCCGCATGCAGAGCCTCAAGGTTTCTGCAGCAAGCCACCTCTGGCCCCTGTCACCCAGAACCTGGAAGCAAGCGCGAGCTCTGCGCAAATGCCGCATATGTGTCATGGAATGGCAGAATACGGCATATAGCTCCAGAAAGGCCAAGGCCCGGGCCAGGCAGCAGAAGCGAGAATGAGAAACGTCAGCAACAGGTCGACGATAAATGTGCAAATCTCTGCAGCCACTTACCTGCATAACCTTTCCCAGCATTCCCAACAAGAAACATCTTTTGTGAGCACAAAAGCACGGACACAAAATGCGTGGAGATGTCGGTCCAAGCAAGCTTGCATTCTCAGCTGCGTGCGCTGTTCACCGCCTCGTTGTACTCGTTTACTCTTCTGGGGTCTTGCTGCCTTTGCTGAGAAGGCTCTGTAATTGAAGATGCCAGCTTGCAAAGAGGCTGCTCTCAATGCAGAGCTTCTGTCGGAATCGCTGCATAAGCATCTCGTTGCATTTTAAGTCGAACTCCTGCAAACCATCAGCTCCTGCTTTGTTTGGGTGCTAAGTTGAGCTCAGCTGTATCAACCACATGATGACGCTGACAGGCGTGTTTTGCAAAGCTTACAATGGCCTGGACCTCCCTCAGATTGGAAAAGAACATCGCCACTGTTCCGTCGGGCATCAACCTGTGCGGCCATAAGTCCCACAGCCTGCGCTCATGCTTCAAGAACCCCATGCAATTCTCCAAGCACTGATGCTGGGCAACAAGTAACACGATTCAACACACCATCTCACCTCCGTGTCTGCAGACGCAAGGATTTTGCCCACCGCAATCGCCCGGTTCTGCGGCCTCGCACGACTCCCGATAAGACTGGACTCCAGCTTCCCAGGCTTCGCTACTGCTTTCCTCGGCACCCGATCCCCCCCACACATCCCCACGCCTTCCATAGATGGAAACACGAACCGCCGCCTGGAGCTTGCTACCATCAGTTTCGATGAGTTTGCCATCCTGGGATTGGTGTCGCACAGCGGCAAACCGGGAACCACGACCGAGCAAACACGAGCTGTTTTGCTACCGTGCGGCCCAGCACCACATGACCTTGGCTTTCGTTGCTCCAGGTGACATCTTTTTCACCTGCGCTCGCGACTTTTGTAAGTCCAAAGCAAAAAGTTAACAAGACAGCGAGGCTTGAACTTGGAAATCTAATCAAAAACTGCCGGTGGTCGGTGCAAGAAGTTGCTATAATTTGCTATGTTTGCTATGAATTTGAGTGCTGAGTCGCAATGACCGGCTGGAAGCGTTCCAGCCACCCTCGAAACAGTTCGGGTCAAGCATGTGCAGGAGCATGCAGGAGCTTGCTCACTTGTCCAAGTGCTAAACATGAGCCTTTGGAAGACTTTTGCCAATAAGGCAAGCCCGCCATTTGCCCAACAGCCAACGCTGAGCGTCCTGCTCTGCATGAACATGCGCTGTGCGCGTAGGATTGGTGTGCTGCACATGCTGCCTCCCATCCTTCTTCTGCAGCATGCCCAACAAACATATTTAGAAGCCTCTGCGAGGTGTGCGTGATGGGGCATGCAGGAAGAGCCACGGCACTTTCTGGGTCACTTGAGAGCAGGGCGAACAAAAGCTACGGCGGTGGCTTTTTCTGCTCCCGTACACCCTTCGTTTGCTGTCTGCAGTTCGGAGATCAAACAACGCAAGCTCATGCAGGAGACACTTGCACTGCAACAGCGATAGCAAAATCGCCAGAAATATCGGTTAACAATGGGGGACCTAAGTGGGGGGGGCCAAAGGGGGGGTGGGACCCCCCCCCCCAGTGGCCCCGCAGCCTGTTTAGCTCCCTTGTATGGAGGGGGTGGCGGGGGGCCCCCACCCCCCCACAAACCTCCGATATATCGGAGATCAAGGCCCTTGAGTGCTGTTTGTCAATAACAAAGTGGTAAACAAGAACTCCCGCAAGCTCCGAAGGAGCTGGCTTTCGTGACTTGTTCCTGGCCCAAGCTCAAAGCGCACGTTAAACTAGCAAGTGTCCTGCCAATTTCTCCAACTTGATCAGCACGCTAAGCCTTGGATTCCAACGGAATGCTCAATGTTAAGAAGCTGGGGACATGGGTGGTAATAAGATCGGGCTTTTTGTCGTTGAAGCTTAGAATGGACGTTAAACATCGGAGGTTCAGGGCAATTACGCAGGCCACTGGCTGCACGTTAGGAGGTTGTCGGAAGCCCCAAGAACATGAGAATCCAGAATTTCAGGTTTCGAGTGCAGGAACGGGTTCATGCCAGCACGCATGCAAACCACCAAGGAAGGTTCGACGTTCGAGCAAGGATGTTTCGCGGCAGGGTATCTTTCGAAATTGAAGCTGCTAGAAGCCTTGTGCCTCACGGCAACTACCGAGAAACCTCGACACCCCTATCTTCGAAATATCCTTCAAATAGATCAGGGACATCTATAGGAATCGGAGTGTGATAAGGCTCTGGGCACGACTGCTTGCGTGAACAAGCAGCCACAACTCCATGCATGCCCAGCACACTGTTGGCGTCAAGACACTCTTCCTCCATTGCTTGCAGGCCATCCCACGTCTCAGCCCACTCTGGCAGTACGAACACTGTCGTGATGTCTTCACAAGGTGCGCTTCCTGCACGTGGTGGCGGCAGCGCTGCCGTAGCCACTGTCAATAACACCATGAATGACAGTAGCAACACAAAATAAGAATCATCGTAACAGCCATTTGTGTGCTAACAGCAGTAGTTTCGTGCAGGCAGCGGCAGCAAAAACAGACCATCGATGCCAGGAACTAAGGGAAACTGTACGAGAAGTGATAAGAACCAGAAAATGAAGGATATAGCGTGAGTTACAGCTCTTATGAATGTCGCCTTGTGGTTACCGCAATGGTAGCAGCAGGAATTTTGGTACAACAGTTACTGGCTATGGCAGTCGTCGTTGCTGTGCCCATAGCAGTAGCAGCAACTTGAGATTTAAGCTACGAAAGCTAGACACAACCGGACATCGCAAGCAACCCCAAAACCGAAGATGCCACACATGGTCTGCTATCCGGCACGCGATTGTCAGCTACATGGCGAAGGAAAGAATGTGTTTCCGATTAAACGCGAAGGGCGACCGTTGTTTGAAGGGCGCCAGTGGCAATGCAGAAGTAGGTTCTTGTGACCTTGTGCACAGTCGTAGTATAGTAGTATAGTAGCAGTAGTAGCAGTAGTAGCAGTAGTAGCAGTAGTAGCAGTAGTAGCAGTAGTAGCAGTAGTAGCAGTAGTAGCAGTAGTAGCAGTAGTAGCAGTAGTAGCAGTAGCAGTAGCAGTGGCAGCAGTAGTAGCAGTAGTAGTAGTAGTAGTAGTAGTAGTAGTAGTAGTAGTAGGAGGAGTAGCAGTAGCAGAAGCAATAGCAGTAGCAGTAGCACCAGTAGTACTACAAGAAGTAGTAGTAGAAGTCGTCGTCGTCGAAGTAGTAGCAGCAGTAGTCGCACAAGTGGTAGTGGTAATAGAAGTAGTAGTAGCAGTAGTAGTAGTAGTAGTAGTAGTAGTAGTAGTAGCAGCAGCAGTCGCAGTAGCAGTCGCAGTAGTAGTAGTAGTAGTAGTAGTAGTAGTAGTAGTAGTAGTAGTAGTAGTAGTAGTAGTAGCAGTAGAAGTAGTAGAAGTAGTAGTAGTAGTAGTAGTAGTAGTAGTAGTAGTAGTAGGAGTAGTAGTAGTAGTAGTAGTACTAGTAGTAGTAGTAGTAGTAGTAGTAGTAGTAGTAGTAGTAGTAGTAGTAGTAGTAGTAGTGGTAGTGGTAGTGGTAGTGGTAGTGGTAGTGGTAGTGGTAGTGGTAGTCGTAGTAGTAGTAGAAGTAGTAGTAGTAGTAGTAGTAGTAGTAGTAGTAGTAGTAGTAGCAGTAGTGGCTCAAGTCTCGGCTCAACCCCGTTGGGGTGCTGTGGTGGAAAGCGGTAGCTGTCTGAACTGGGTTCAAGGCCTAACCGGCTTGTGGGAAGAAGGCCCCCTTTCAATCCCAGCTGTAGCACAGTTGCCATATCGCTGCCAGTGCACTCTGACTCTGACCAAGGAACTCCTTGGCGTCACATCATCCAGGATTCTCCTGGTGCTGCAACAGAAAGGCTACTAAGACCTCTCTTGGTAACACTGCCCCCAGGCTGGTCCCGGTGAAAGAGGAGTTCCAAGAAGGCTCCTCGGAAAGAAGGAGCTGCTGAAAGGGTTGAGCGCAAGCTGCTGCTCAGTTTCGGTGGCAAGGAGATAAGTGTATTGGCTGACTGCTCGAAGGCTCACGGCCTCTGACTTCCGCATTGAGAACAAAGCCCTTTGCAGCCCCCTTAACCAGCAGCCGAACCAGTACCACCGATAGCCGAGCTCCCCACTGCGGAAAAGACGCGGTGAAGAGGCAAAGCAGCTTGCCCCAAAGCTGAAGGATAATCCAGCATGGCGGTACTCCGTTGCAGCATATTCAGCTGGCAACATCAGGGAAGAACTGGAGCCCTGTTTTTGGAGCTCTCAGGGGCCCAGCGCATCCATTTTGTAAGGCTAAGGAGGCGAGGGCATATACCATGGGGCAGCCATGGCAGGTGGAATCTTGTCAGGCTAGAGCAGAGCATTAGGCTGGAGCTTCGTGGCTTCAGCTGCTGTGAAGGCTAGGGCGCGGAACCCCACATTCCAGGTGGACCCGATGGACCGCACCTGCATGACCACTCGCACGCCCCGACTGAACAAGAAGAAGAGTGGATCCTCCTGTAAGCTAAGGGCCAAAGCTGGAATGGAAGGAAATCCTTCGCTTGGGATACGACTCTAGCCGTGGCAAGGCAGCACTCTTTTCTCTTCAAGAGGTTTCACGCTACGCGTTTCGCCAACTGGTGGCTCTTCGGGCTTCTCTTGAAGCAGAAAGCTGCACATGTGACAACATGCCTGAAGCAAGATAGCATCAAAGCAACGTGTCACACAAGACATGACTGCTGCGAATGGTTTTTTAGTGCATCTAAAAAACCCAGCTCCCTCCCTCCTCTACACCATGCTGGGTGATGCGTTTAGCCAATTGGAAGCAAAGTTCCTCCTGAAAGAGTTCTTTTGAACTCGGAAAGAAAGTACTGGCGCGACAGTTCGATGAAAGCAAGTTTGTACAATATGCCAGTGTTTGCACAAGGCTCGCTTGACATAACGTCGGTCAAGCGTCGATGTGAAGATTTGCTTGAAGAAAAAGCTCTTGGACTTCACTGTCTTCTGCGGTTCTCGCCTCTGCAGTTTGGATATTGTTCTGCGAATGAGCCTCGTAGCATTTTGTCGATTGTAGCCGCGAAGTTGGAGTTTGCAAAGGAAGTATTGCAAGTGCTTCTCCAACGCAACTGGGTTGCGACGGTTGTGCCTAAACAACCTTTGTGACTCGCCAACGATCAATGCGTTGAAAACACCATCGGGGTGACATGAGATCTTGGGTATGTAAAGATACGCATTCTTTGGCTTTCTGTATGTTTGAAAGCGCAGACGTCCTGCATCCAGCTGAATGTCCAGATCCAGAAATGCAACGCGTGCTCCTTCACCAGAGATGTCCCACTGGATGCTTGGGCGCCAACTGTCCAAAATAGACTTGCATGTTTTTCCAGCTTCACTAGTGCCAGACACAAATCCGAAAGCGTCATCAATGTAGCGCTTCCAAAACTTCAAGAAAGGGCACATTGTACACACAAGGTCGTCTAGTTCAGCAATGTATAGGTTTGCGAGCACAACGCTTGGTTGAAGTCCTGTTGGGAGACCCTTGTCAACTTGCCATAGTTCGCCTTGGAACTTGACGTGCTGGGAGCTAAGACAAACTCCGTGAGCTTCAGCAAAAAGGTAGCAAATTGAGGCTTAGCGCACCAATGCGCTCTCACTCGCTACGCAAAGACTGTCATGAAACGCTGCCTGTTCGCACTAGGATACAAGTTGCGGATGTCAAAAGTGACCAACTCCGCAGAAGTCTCAAGGACCTGCTCGCCCTCAAGCAAGTCCATAAGTTCAGCACTGGAGCTGATGGTGCGCGGCAACAGTTTTTCCAAAGGCAGCAGTTGCTCAACGAGAAAGACTGCAGCAGGTGCTAGCCAGGAGCTTGTCATGTTGAAGATGGGCCTGCCTTTGATGGGTGTTTTGTGTAACTTCACACGAAGTCTGAACGTGCCCGTTATCAATGACCTGAACATTGACATGATAAACTGAGCCTCTCTGTTGGAAATGGTGCCCTGGAAAATGGCATCGTGTAGAAAGCTGTCCAGCGCATGCTTCAACTGCTCTGTTTCGGACACGTAGTCGGTATGACGAACGCTGCTTCTTTCAGGAGCCTGAGCGACTCTTGTTGCACCCATGATCTTGATAGGATGGCATCACCAAGATTTTTGTCGGCATCCACAACGCATACTTGCGCCGGGTGGCTGGAAAGCCATGCGCGAGCAGCTTTGTCAATGAAATCTGAATTTCTTGCACGAGCGTGCGGGCTGTGTCGCGACAGCTCCGCACGGAGTAGCCTGCAGTAGGTCGACACCGATGAGTTGCTAGGTGGCTGCCAAGAGCTTCTCAATCTGCATCTGGTGTTTTGCAAACGTGGCATGGAATCATTGTAGTCTCGGAAATGAACTGCCAAATTCAAGGATCTTTCCAACGAATCAACTTCCCAGAGTAACGACATTGCGGTACTCTGGGCTGTGTCAGGAATGAACTTGCCACCCTTGGCCAAATACGCCTTCACGTAGGCAGGGATCTCAAAACTATCCGGAGTGAGGTCATGGACTGGGGAACTGAAGCGCTGCTCAAGCTGTACAACGGTGAGTCTCTTGAGCTTGTAACGCACAAACTGGTCCAAATCTATACTGAAATCCTCTCTCCAGAAACTGCGACGACGGGGTCTGTGTTGGCCTCGGGGATATAGTCAAGACCTGCGGGGCGGAGCTGGAGTCTTCATCCGCACTGTTTTGGAGTTCTGCTGGTGGCCCTTGTCCTTGCCCTTGTTCTTGCCTTTGCCCTTGCCTTTCCCTTTGTGCGGATGGCTGGATCTTGCCTTAGACGAAGAAGCACTCTTCCGCGAAGTGGATCTATGCGAACTTGACTTTCTGGACGACTTAGACTTGGCTGAGCGAGGTTTGGAACTTCTGGCGCTCGACGCTTTAGAGGAAGATCTGCCCCTTGAGCTCGGCTTCCTAAGTGTGCTTGAAGTCTGTGCCCGGGTTTTCTTGCTCAGGGAATTGGCCAAGTCGGGGTATTGTCTGGACAAGTAGGCCAGCGCTCCATCTTTGGGCGGCGCAGCACGTCGATGAGCCGCAGAGCTCTTGCCCTGCAGCGCACTGAACTCTAGCACAGCAGTAGCAAGTAGCTTGTTAACGTCCTTGAGGCGGTACTCAGCCTCAGCTTAGAAGTTGAGCACGTTGCTTCTGCTTCTGCTCTCGTTCTTTTTCATGCCTTGCCATAGCTCGAGGTTGCTCGGTCCGAAAGGTCAGGTCGGCAAACTGCATGGCTAAGGAGTGCATAGAAGAACGAACATCATCTGACAATACTCCGGCATATTTTGCAAACCACGAACAAAGAAGATCTTCGAGCTTGTTACGTTGCTTGGTGACATGAACTTCTTGTTCAAAGTATGCAGTGCACTGGCGCTGGTACGCCAGAACGAAGTTATGGCATTCTTGCGCATGCTTCTGCCTCAGCTCTGCAAACTCACGGTCGATGTCGAAAGGTGGCGAAGGCTCATCCGCTTGAGCAAACTCGTCTCGTGCACCTTCCATCAGGGATGGGACGCACTGAACAACTTTCTTGGCATGTGGCTTGAAATCTGCTGGCCACTGCCAGCTTCCTTGTGCCTCAGAAAGAAATTGCTTGCGCAGCATACCATCAGCTTGGAGATCGGCAAATTTCTGCTGCAGGGACTTCTGGGTGAAGAAGTGCTGCAAGGTGCTTCTGTATTCCTTCGCCCACTCAGTCAAGACAACACGCAGAACTGGCTCAACGGACTCCAACACATCTTCTGGCTTCGCGTAAGAGTTCGCATCACTTTTCTGTGATTGGCGAGCAAGTGCGAGTTGTTGAGCCATCAGCTGGTTCTGTGTAGTCCGTGCTTGAAGTAGTTGAAGGAGAATTTCTTGACTGCTCGGCAAACCTGGGGGAGCTCTCGCAGGTGGTGATTGTCCTGCTTGGAGCACTTGTAGAGCAGACTGAAACTGATTGGCCGGAAAGGTCACTGGGCCTGCACGGCGCCCCCGCAAGGCTGCATTGTCAGGTATCTTTCGGCTGCGACTGCGTAACGGTTCATGCGACGCCATGGCGAGTTGGGCTGAGCGTTGCACAGCACACGTGAGACAGGCACCAACTCTAGCCGTGGCAAGGCAGCACTCTTTTCTCTTCAAGAGGTTTCACGCTACGCGTTTCGCCAACTGGTGGCTCTTCGGGCTTCTCTTGAAGCAGAAAGCTGCTCATGTGACAACATGCCTGAAGCAAGATAGCATCAAAGCAACGTGTCACACAAGACATGGCTGCTGTGAATGGTTTTTTAGTGCATCTAAAGAACCATTCGCAAGGAAATCCTTCGCTTGGGATACCAGTGGCAAGACCAGGAGGCCTAACCTGGTGGCCAGCTGGTGAATGAGCAAGAGATTGGCTAATCTACTCATCTGCATAAGATATTACTGCGACGCCATGGCTGGGGTCTCCAGCCAATGCAAGTGATGACCAGACAGAGGTGTTAACCGTCTCCCGAGGAAATCGAGACCCGGGAAAACAAGGCCGGACGACTAGCCAGTATGGCTGGCAGGCAAAGGCAAGCAGGCTGTGCAGTGCTGTGAAGAGAGGAGTTAAAAAAGTGTCTAGCGCTCTATCGGCATGGATGCTTGGTCCCTGCAAGTAAGAGCGAGAAAGCAGTGATCACTTCTCACTCGTGGTGCTAAGTGCAACCAAGAGCAGCTCATGAGAAACCAGGTTCCAGCCCTAGCAACAACCATGGCGCCTGGTGACTAAATGTCTGGTTTAAAGGATTTGAAAACAAAGTGAGCAAGCCGAAATTGCTGAGCAAAGGGCCCCAGGATTCTTGGCCAGAACACAAGAAACCAGACTCTTTCACTGAGCTGGTGTGGCCAGAGAGTGAGCAAGTGAAAGAATCCTGCAGGGCAAAGAAGGCAAAAAGGGTGATACCAGGCCTAGGGTTGGTTTTTACCCTTCAAATGCAAAAGAGCTTGGTCACCAGCACAATGTTCAGTGAACTGATGGGCTCTTTCTGTGCAAAGAGCAGGCATGATCTGTTCTTGTGGTCCCCATGCCCAAGTGGCCTCTTTCCGTTGCTGCTGGAGAGGTCTGTGGTTTTTGGCTCTTGCTGGGGGGGGTTGGTGTCTTCTGCTTGGGCCCATCGCCGCCTACGTACGAAACGGGAAACGTCAGAACCGATCAAGTGGGAAGAGTAGCCTTGGCCAGAAGGCAAGGTGAAGACCCCATTGACGCGTGGGTTGAAGGTTGGGATTGGGTCGGGTTGGAGGTGCTTCCTCGGCCTTGCCTCTTCGGTTTAGGGATGGGGCTGTTTGTTTGTTCTCCAAGGCGTCTTTTCGCCGCCCGCATGAGGTTTGGCAAGGGCAGACATGCGAGGCCGCTTTAAGCTGATTTACTTGTCAACCACAACGACCCTGAGTGTCCTTGCCCAAACAGAAATCGCTCGGGAAAGGGCGAAGGGGCAAGTGAAGCAGCAGAAAAAGACCAGATAGAAGCTGCAGGCATTTTGCTTGGCTGGTGTGAGGGCTGGTGACCAGACCAGCAGAACACGACAAGGGAACATCATGAGAAGCCGAAAGGGCTCTCGGGTCGAACCGGCAGGGCAAAGCAAAGCCAGACACACAAGCTCACAGTGTACTGGTGTGAGGCCTGGTGATGACCAGGCTGGGCAGGACAAGGCTGTCACATAGGTAGGGTAGCCTACTTGAAGTTTCACCCAACAGCCAAAGGCAGCGCTCCGTGCACTTCGAGACCAAAAAAGTAGTAGTAGTAGTAGTAGTAGTAGTAGTAGTAGTAGTAGTAGTAGTAGTAGTAGTAGTAGTAGTAGTAGTAGTAGTAGTAGTAGTAGTAGGGTAGTACTACTACTACTAGTACTAGTACTAGTAGTAGTAGTAGTAGTAGTAGTAGTAGTAGTAGTAGTAGTAGTAGTAGTAGTAGTAGTATTAGTAGTCCATGCAAGTTTGATTGGCTCTGCATGGGGCCCTCCATATGAAATCGCAGGCCTCGCTCATCTGTGCGCACGATTTATACTCATTTATGGCACCACCGCGCAGAGCATCCTGAAGCCCCATAAACAAATCAGTTTGCCAGCCTCCTTCTTGCCTTCTGAATCTTTCCGGGAGCTGCAGGTAAGTCATTTGGAAATCATAGGGGGTGCACGGGCGTCTGCATGGAAGATCTGCGATAGTCCTTTCCAAAGTGGGTGCAGGGCAATTCCATGCAATTCCTTATCATTGCAGCTTTCTTCCCGAAAAACATTCCCTCATCGCACATATGGTCTCCCTAGACGGCCCAATCGCATTACACGCATTGGAGATCAGAAAACTCTGACGGCCCCACGTGCTAGTAAGCCACAGAGGGGCGAGGGGAGACCCGCGACTGTCCACACAGCTGCTAGGTCCACTGGATTTCAGAAACAAACTCTTTTGCAGGTCTTCAGCTCAGATTTCCGAAGCATTCACCTTATTCATTCCACTTGGAGCATCAAGTTTTTCTTCAACTTCAGAACATGGACGCCCGTGCATATTCTTCAGGCTGCTGAGCAACGCAGTGCAGCCGGTAATGTTGAGACATGCTGCGTAGGGATTAAGGTTTAAAGCAAAACAGTAGGAGATCGCCCTGCAGGGTGTCGGGGAATGCCCACTTCCAAGAATATCAGCGGCCGGGCATGCGGATATCAGGGTAAACACTGTTCAAAGACTTAAACCTAAAGATTAGCAGCTCGGCCGAAGCTGAAGTCTCAATGCGCCTTGTGGCAAGCCCTTGTCAAGGACGGCATGCACAAAGTGGTTAGCCCTGATCCGTGCATCTTGAGGACCTGCGGCAAATTGCCACACAACCACTCTGCGCCGCTGGAAACTGCCAAACAAGGCCTCAAACAAAAAAGGAACATGCTGCGTGCTGCATGATGCATGCCTGTTAGTACTTGCACCAGGCCATAGCAAAACTTTTGCGTAGTAATGTTTCTGCTGGGCGCTTGTAACACAAACCTTGCCTTTGATCTGGAGGGTGTTCGCGGACAGCTCTAAACGCGCCCCCGAAACATTCGCCAGAAGAGTTAGCTTCTCTTTCAGCATCTTTGCATCGTCAACGGTCACCTCACTCGGTCTCATCATGTAGCAGTTCACGACTCGACGAGTCTGACTCAGTAGACATGCGCAGTTCCTGCTGCCACGTGGCAACGAGGGTGACCCGCCTTGTATCAGTCTCAACGTCTGCGGTTGTTGCACTCGCTTCCTGCGCTTTGAACGGGGGCTGGAGATTGCCCGCAAAGTAATCAGTGCGAACGTCTCAAGTTTGGAAACCATCTCTATTTCTTTCTGTCGGTCTAAGCATCTATTTAGCTATGCTTTATTCGGAAAACTTCCAGTTCCTCTTTACGTTAGTTAAAACAAAACAGAATTTCTCGCAGGAAAAACTCCATTTCCTCCGAGAGCCTGTAGTTTCATGGAAGAACTATTTTCTTTGTACCCTAGACAAACAAAAGTACACAACGCGAAAAACATTTAGGGGTAACTACAAAATCATGTCGAATTTCCAAAAAAGATGCAAACTAGACGGGAGCAACAAAAAACTCAAACATTTCAAAAAGGAAGGGGCCATCTCGCAGTTCCAAACAAAATTCAACAAACTCGAAAAGGTCCGGGTGTATGGTTCCAGCACATGGTCGTTTGTGGAGTTCTTTGAACCGGGACATGGTCAGTCTGCATCCTTAAAAACTACGGAATCCGGATAATTAGGAAGGTGCAGGAAACATCGCCATTTACGAGTGAAGTGAAAGGAGGTTGGTTCTGGGGGGGGGGGGGGAGAGGGGGGTGGGGGGGGCGGGTTTCCAGGTCTTTTAAGCGTATCGGTATTTGTTTTACTGTTCTTTCTTTATCTTTTCCAGGATCAACCTCTAAAATTTAATTTCTAGCATACCACCAATCTAAAGAATCTGCTAGATACTTGTTGCACTTTCTGAACGACACCAATGGAGTCAGTCCATGTTTTCCTGGGTGTTTCTGGTTTCGTAGGGATTGACGTCTTTTGTTTTTCAAACAACATAAAATAAAACAAAATCAAAGTCAAAAAAAGTCTGGCAGGTTTCGAGCGATTCCGCGTTTTCACAAACTGTTAACCAGAAACAAAATGGACTTGAATGAATTGTTCGTACCATGTTTTGTTGGACTGTTTGTTGGAGAAACTGCTGGTGTTCTGGATACTACAGTAAACTACACGAACATGAACATAAGGAGAACTATTCTAGCATAAAACTTTTAAGAAAAACGAAAAACATTTTGTGGGTAACAACAAGTAAAGAATTTGCTATATGATATTGCTATATGATCAGGCGCTCCGCCCATGGTATGGTACCCCCTTCTGGGTGTGGGTTGGGTTTAGGGGGGTTTGGTTTAGGCCTCCGTGGTGTGGCTTTGCTTGGTTTTACCCCCCCCCCCCCGGGGTTGTGGGTTGGTTCTAGTGTTTCTTTCTTCTTTCATGGTTTTAGGGGCTTGGGGTGTTTGTCGGCTTTTAGGGTTGTGGTCTGGGTGTGGTTGTTGGCGGGTTGTAAAGTTTCATTCGGGTTTATGGCCTCCGCCCTCACTGCTCCCTGCATTCTCGCCGCCTTTCAGTCACCCCCGCCCCTTTCCAAGTATTCCTGCTGGCTCCAGCCCCAAAACCCCACCGCCCTCGCCCTGCAGCGGCCCCCTTCCCTACTTGGTTCAAGTATACTTACGGTTCAAGTATACTTACACCACGGGACCGCGGGACCGGTGGACCGGAGGAGCAAAGGACCACGGGACCTCACGGGACCAGAGGACCACGGGACCGAAGGACCCGAACCGAAGGGCAAGAGGACCCAGAGGACCACAGGACGACGGCACACTAGGCACATTTCAAAACAAAAGAGGCCTGAGCCACATCTTTCAAAGAAAACTTGCACGGGATGACCACAGCACCACGGAACCACGGGACCACGAGCCACGCCTTTCAAAAACGAGGTCTATGAGCCTGGGCCCTCCTCACTACACAATAACCAAAAACAGTCCAAACGACGCAACGCTTCGACAAACGTTCAACATGCACATGCAGGACTGTTTGCCCGGTCGGCGACGGTGAAGAGGTCTCTCACTGCGTGGGGTTGAAAGCGCCCCGTGGCCTCTCTCCATCTCTCTCTGAAACTTCACTTGCCCACAACATCCCATAACCTGGCCTCCTGGACTGGTCCAGCAGTCGCCTCAATTTCTTCGACTTCTTCCACTTCAAAGTCCTCCTCACCCACACCATTCCAGAAGTCGGCTTCTTGCATTTCATCATCAACTTCGCCAGCTTCAGAACCTTCAGCTTTGTCCGCTGTTTCAGCTGCTTCACGCTTCGGCTGCAGCAGCTCCGTCAGGAGGTCGTCCTCACCATCTGCCTCATGCAAACCTGTGCCAATCTCATGGACTGAAAGGGGCTGCAAGTGGCTGCAAGTGGCTGCAAGTGGCGGCATGCAATCTGCAATCCATGCCGTCCATGCCTGTGAGCCGTCGCTTCGGCTCAGCTCCTGCTAGGCTGGCAACACCATGAGCCGATCTTTTCTGCAGCCGATCCTGCTGCATTAAGACCAGATGGAAAAGACGGCCAAGACGGCCAAGAGTGACATGATCCCTGTGCACACAGCAATCAAGAGCAACAGAGGATGGCTCGGAAAGAAGTTTGACAGCTCCTTTTTGTCTTTCTTCTTTTGCTTGTGCTCCTTCTTCTTGCCATGCAAGGTCTTCTCGCTTTTGCGCTCTTTCTTGCCGCGCCTGGGAACTCACAGGCAGATGTTTTTGATATGCTGCAGTGACCACTATATAGGAAAGCATTGTCCTTGTGTAAGAAACTGAGATCGATGGATTTGGGGCGATGTGCGGTTGCCTTTTCTCCTGACATGCTAAGCAAAATGAAGTGCACTAGTGAGGACCATTTTCTTCACATGCCGTTTATTTCAGCGACAATCACAACTCTCCAACTGCCGTCATTGGCTCGAATGCTTCCCGGCCATGGCCACGAGCCCGGTCTTTTCATCTTTCTGTGTGCACCCCTCCCCCCACCCAAGGATTCTTTTTGCGATTATAAGGGCTTTGAAACCATTATTCTGTTCGCCCGCGCCCTTTTCTAAACTCACATGGCGGCCGCCCATGGGGGTGCACATTTCGCCCGATGCCTGAAGACACGTTTTGACGACACATTCTGTCCAGGCGCCAACCCCCTGACGCCAAGTACTGACGCCAGGCAGGTGACGCCACGTCTTTGCGTGGCGCCTGTCGCCACGTTTGACGCCACCTGCAGACGACACGTGGATCAGTCCTGACGCCACGTAAGCTACTGACGTCACGTCATGACGCCACATCCGGCGAGGACTGACACGTGGCCGGGAGAGGGTTTTTCGTCGATATCTGCCCCCCTCGGGGCCTGTGACGCCACGCTTTGACGCCACGTCCGGCTACGCCACATGTCTGCAGTTTTGCTGCTCATGGTCAAGAGCGTCTGCATCAGACATGAAAGAGTCTTCGCGGGCCCCTGCCACGAGGTCGAAGGCGAAGGTAAATCCGATCATGTGCGGGAGCATGTGTTAATCGAAAGAACAGCATGTGTTAATCGAAAGAACTCAAAATGGCGACCGACGTATGTACGAACCAAATGCAACTCGAATCCCTCTTGCGCACGAGAGGAGTGAGGCCAGATGTTGCCATCAAGAGTGCACACATCTTCCGGAGACAGTGTAGAACAAGCTGTGACAACATGCGACAATCAAAGTCCATGCATGTCCATACCACCTGCAAACTGAATGAGCGCGAGGCTTGAGCGACTTGTCTTCATGCCTGGGATTCGCAGGTGCAGGGCTGCCAAAGCTCATGCTTAGGCTTAGACTCAATCCTACAAGAGCTCCACATTCTTCGAGTTAACTTTGCCGCAGGCACTTGTTCGTTCTGTCCTTCGTCACCTCGTCCTCTGGCAGAGGACATGTTCGCAGTCATGGTATGACTGGCTCACGCAACTGCGGCTGCCTTCCCAACATCCATCTCGGCAGAAGTATGCAGAAACTTCTGCAACCACGTCTGCTCCCAGGCATGGCTTCAAAAGGTAATCCCGAGGCAGTCACACACCTATACGGCCCGTGCCGAAGACCACTGTGACTGCGGCGACCACAGTGACTACAGTGACTACAGCGTGCGCACTGCTTCCTGCCATAAGGCTCCATGCAGAGGTGCAACTCAGCCTTGAGAAAGCAGATCAAGCTATATCAAACTGGCATCTCTATCCGAATTCTCCAGAGGCCTGTCAGGCCGATGACAGTCTCGAGGCATCGAGGCTCTCTTGGGCTCTTGGACTTTGGCTGGTGTTGCACGTTTCGGAGGTGCGGGGCCTGTGACGTGAAATGAAGCTGGCAACTGACATTCACTGACGTCACGAACTGATGTAGCTTCAGGCCAGCGGCCTGCCAATCGGCATCAAACTGTTGCACTCGATGCCTGAAGCTGTATCCCGTCGGCAACATGCATTTTACACATGCACCCTGTAAGTCTCAAGCTTTATGGCCGACCAGTCAACGTGAGAGCTTTTCACCTCCCAGGTTACAAGATCCTAGAATCTTAGAATGCTTTGCTTGTGTGGGCGCGCCTCCACGCAATCAAAGTCGTGCAGCTCTGTGGTTGGAAAGAACTCAAAAATCAGTGGCCTAAGGTCATCGTTCTGCATCCAAGCTGGCGCCAAAGAAGCGTAGTGAAACAACACTGCAATGGCTTTGCTGTGTGCTAAGCGTGCTAAGCTTCGCTTAGCACTCGGCCAGTCAGCACCGCAAAAGAGAATGAAGCAAGCGAGAATCCAAAGCTGCATCGCCCTTGCAGCTCACTGAACACACCCTGAAATATCTTTGCGTCTTGACATGTCTTGATTGAGGCAGCGACCATGTCTAATGGCCGACCTTGATTCAAAACAAGTGTTGTCGAGGCGACAACCTGTTGGCAACCTGGCTGTGCGAGATTCTAAGAGCCCGACGATGCCGTGAACCCATGGCCGGCGGTGATGCCCACATGGGTCCACATTCAGCTGCAGTTTTGCTGAAGTTGTGCTGCATGCGTCAGTTGTGCCAGAATGGTATGCTGAATCACATGGATCTGCACGCATGTCTGATGATTCACGGCAGCTATTAACAGCCAGACGTTTGGCCGAACATATGCTTCTCGGGAAGGAAGAAAACAGTCTAGGTGCCTCGAGTTTGTTCCTCGTCTGTTGCGCACTCGACACTGGAGGCTCTTGCATGCGCCATGGTGCGAAATTGACCATAACGAGTGCTGGGCATCGCTGTTCCGGGGTTCGCCGATGGGCGGCGACATCAATACGCACTGATCGACCAATGCACTTCTGGTCGAAACATGTGGAAATTCGGTTTCAAGATGGGAGTTATGGGAGTCACAAACGACCTTCTTTGGTTGACGCAAGGACTGAAATCCAAGGCAGCGTATGTGAGGGTAGGGTTTGGGGTTCTCTCCTCAGAAAACCGCCGTGGATGGGTGGGCCGCCACGACCGAACTTAAATTCCCTTCACGGCTCCATATGGCTCCCTTCGAACTCCTCCGTCGGATGCGACCATCGGCGACCGAACTTGGGCTCCCTTCATGACTCCCTTTCGGGCTCCTGGGTCGGACTTGAGGCCCTGATTCGGGCGGGTTGGCCGCAGCGACGGGGGCTGGTGTCTTCCTGCATCGTCGGGTGGCTTTCTACAGGTCCCCCTTTACTGTTTAAAAGGAGACCGGGCCCGCTAAATTGGTGCCCCATTCGCTCCCTTCCATCCATTTTCTGAAATTGTGGCTTGGACAGGTCGGACGCGTTCATGTCTCCCTTGTGGACACCTTTTTCGGCTGGGCAGGCCGCGAAACAGCCGAGCGCAGTTTCCTGTTTGCGCGCGTTTGTCTTCGAACTGCGAAGCCGTGTCGTGCAGTTTCGTGCTCTCTGGCGGTCGTAACATGCAATTTCGTATTTGCAAGGTGTCCCAGGCATGCCAGATCGGTTTTAGTCAGTACGAGCGTGAATGCCAACGGGGGCAAGCACTGAAAGAAATCGCCAGATATCCTGTCTGTACCGGGCCAAGTGCACCTCAAGGTATCCGGTCTGCATCAGCCCAAAAGGAACCTCAATTATCCGGCCGGTGTCACCGAACAAGAACCTCAGGGTATGCGGTCTGTTCAAAGCCGCATTGCTGCTTTCACGCAGGGCCTCCAACCTGCTTCGAACTTGAGAAGCTGTTGCGCTCACAGTTTCATGCTTCCAGCTGCAACAGCCAAGAGGCATGCTTCTAGCTTCTAGCACACAGCTCTCGGCGCGTGGGTATCTTGTCTTGCCAACAAAACTCGGAACTCGGGCAAGCACGGTATGTTTCCGTTTTCCAATTGTGCGACCGCCAACATGTCTCTGGTGTCTCAAGCTTGCAAAGGCTTCTAGCACACGAATCACAGCGCTTGGGTATTTTGTCTTGCAAACACCTGCAGAAAGAACTTGTTTTCTCCGTGCTGGTTTCGGGGCGCAGCAGGTAATCTTCCCGGTGTTGGCTATTGGCGCACAAATCTCGACACGTGGGTATCTTGTATCGCGAGCAAACTCTCAATGTCATCTCGCTGTTGCCGAGAGAAGCTTGTTAGTCTCCGCACTAGATTCGGGGCAAGCACGGTATATTTCCCATTTCTGCCAGTGCGGCCGGCAACATGTCTCTTGTATCTCAAGCTTCTACTTGCTGGCGCACAAGTCTCGGCACGTGGGCATGTTGTCTCGCTTACATGTCGGCACGTGGGCATTTTTTCGACGCATTCTCTTTGAGGTCATCGTTGGTACAATTCTTTACTCGGGGGCCGCTGCACCCATAAAACCTACTTTTGCGCTTCGCCCTTGCGCGCTCTTGCACTGCCCTTGGCTTCAAGCACGTTTCCATATGGAAGACATACACTGTTCTTCCTGAAGGGTGTTTGAAACAAAGGAGCATTTCCCAAACATCTTTGTTGGAAGGCTTCTGGGAACCTCGCCATTGCTTTCGCAAAGAACAAAATGTGGCTCTTGGAGGAGTTTGTATGTCCCTTACAGCCTTCACCCCTCTGGCTTCACCAGCGTTTCGGGAGGCTGGCCATGTGGTCACTTCCCAAATTAGGGTCCTTGTTTAGCTTGCGCACAGCTTGCGCAAGGCTTGAGCACTGTGGTCCGAAAGCTCCGAGTCCGTCCAAATCCAGTGCAACCCCAGCTTGATTACGTTCGCCCATGCGCGCGCTTGCGCGTTGCAGTTTTTCAGGATGCCCTGAGCCTACATCAACAAAATTTGGGACACTCTATTGGGTTTCAGAACAACCCTCATGTGATGAAGCTGACATGTGAACAGCCTGCCTTGGATGTCTTGACCTCATGGCAAGCCTTATCGTTTCTTTGTGCTCCTCATCGTTATACCATGGTTCTCTTTCTGGTGGCTGTAGCTCTAGGACTGACATGTCTCCTCCCAGATCCTTGGCTAAAGCTCGTGGGGTACTAACGGTACTACAACTTCAGTCTCCGGCAAGGCTTCGAGCAGCTCATCTCAGCTCAACTTTTCCTCCAGTTGGCTGCGGGCTGTGACAAATATGGCTTCAGCAATTCTAGAACTTGCCTTAGCTCCAAGGGCAGCCGAGCTTTCACGCAAAACGGCTTGCCAGAGAGGTCCCGCAGCTTAACACGACGGCAGTGAAGAAAGAGCCGATGGCCAGGAAGCATCGAAAGATTGCCTCTACCATACTTGGGGTCGCCGACAATGGGACAATTCAAGTGAGCTAGGTGCACTCTGATTTGGTGCGTTCGTCCTGTCACAGGCTTCACGGACAGAAGCATGAGCTCATGGTGCTTAGTACTTGGCAGTTCGTATCGTGCAAGAACCTGGTACTTCGTGACGGCTTCTCGCCCAAGTTCAGAAACCTTTGTTGTCTTGCTGTTGCTGGAGCCCTGAATGGTACATAGCGGAACAGCGACAACGCCTGTAGAAGAGACGGCTCCAAGAGAAGGGCCTTCGCACAAACAGATGTACCGTTTATCAACCAGCCGACTGGCAAACTGCGACTGCAACCAGTTCGCGGCCAAAGAGCCTGCAGGTCCTGTGGCCAGTGGCAAAACACCAGAAGTGGGCTTGTCGAGTCTGGACACAAGGCTAAGGACTTCAAATCTGCAAGCGCTGGGCCAGAGCAATGCTGCGACTTCGTCCACAAACTCGTCAGTTGTGACAAGATCAGGCTTGAAGGCTGCAAGAACTCCATGCCCTGCACCCAGAACTCTCGGATCCCCTGCTGCGATGTTGGCAATGTGTGGAGCAGCTGCAGAAACGCGCACCGGTTCTAAATGTTGCTGCCACAACCTTTTCATGACTTCCAAGAACTCCATCGCGCTCTCTGCTCCCAAGGCTTTGCGAAGTGCATTCGCCGCAGAGCCAACATGCAAAGCATCCGGAATTGATTGCAGCGTCAGCAAACTTTGGAGAAGGGCCAAGGCTGCTTTCCACGCGCCGCTTCCCTCGCAAGCACTCATAGCAATCCCGATCATGTCGGCATTAAGAATCTGGGAATGCCCGTCCATGAGTTGCAGCATTGCCGTACACATACGCCAGTTGGAACAGTTTGCCACCGCGCTTAAGGCACTCGTGAAACTAACCTCGCTGGGGGATATCATTCTTCCATCCATGCGTATCAATAACTCAAGTGCCATTGGCCAGCTGCCACCGGTGCTACATGCATCAATGGCACTGTTGCACGAAACTTCATCTAAGTCGACACGCCGTGTGGCCATTTGCGATAACATTGCGAGAGAATGTAGCCACTGACCGCTTCTTCCGCATGCAGCGATGGCTGAGTTAAAGCTGACGACTTGTGGCGAAGGCATTAAGCTCAGTATAGATAAAGCTGGTTGCCATTGAACGCATGTGGCGCAAGCACTGATAGCACTATTAAACACCGCTTCGGCATGATCTAGGGACTCCTCTAACATCCTCTTTAGGACCAGCATCGCTAGTTCCCAGTTCCCCCCTGTGCCGCAAGCAGAAGTTAATGTGCTGTATATGAAGACGTCTGCCTCCACTGCCTCAATTGTCATGTCCAGCAGCATTTGCAAGGCATGCCACCACACGCTGGAGCTTCCAGTTGCAGCCATCGCTGAGGCATAGCTAAAGGCGTTTGGCATCACTCGCTTGGATGGCATGGAACCCAACAAGCCGAGAGCTGCTGTCCACTTGCTGCACTTAGCGCAAGCAGTGAGAGTTGAGCTGAAGCTGACCACATCGGCGGCAGCTCTTGGCGTTTTCGGCATTTGGTTCAAGATCTGCAGGGACACTTCCCACTGCCCAGCGCGAGCGCACGCACTCAGAACGGCATTGTGTGAGACGGTGTCCGGCAGAGTTGCCATGGAACTCATGGAACTCAATATGTCCAGGGCTGCCGTCCACTCGGCAGCTTTCTCACAAACGCTCATCGCAGAATTTAAACACACCACATCTGGCAAGATAGAGTGCTTCTGCATGTTGGTGAGTAACTCAAAAGCCAGCTTCCAATCTCCAGCTTTCCCACATGCAGAGATGGCAATGCCATAATGGAATCGGTTAGCCTTCAGTCGCTGCTTTCGCAGTTTCTCCAAGAGCTGGACGACAGCATTGGCAGACCTCGCCCTAGACGCCTTCTTCAAGGCCACAGTTGCCAAGCGCTCTCTGTCATGACTGTCATACAATGAGATGTCTTGCATGGCAAAGCCGAAGGGCTGAGGCCTTTGGGCAGAAGCCTTTGGCCGGTTGAAGGAAAGTGGACCTGTATGGATGACTATGGCCCAGCATGGCTCTTTCTGGCCATGACATCAAGCCTGGCTTCCAAAAGCCTTGAATCGAACAATTCACTCAAAACCAAGGGGCTGAAGGATTTCATTGGCTGCAGCGTCGGCAGTAGCGTCGGCAGTATATGGCCTGCCTGACCTTCACGACTTCCGTTCTGGTTTGCTTCATGATCCTTGGAAATTGTGTCGTGTTCCCGCCAGGATGGGCTATTTCACACTATTTCAAGCTGGCTGGCCTACATTGACTGCATCATGCCTGTGAGTCGCACGCACGCACTGCTCGTAGGGGCTGGGGCCCTGCGCCCTGTGTAGATTCGGGATGAATCTGAAAACGCTTTCGGTTAGCTATAGGTCTGAGCCCAGAGATGTGAAAGCCTTCCGCAGGCCATGCACAAGAAGGTGCCATATGATGTGCAGAATTGCTGCAGAATGAACGGTTCCTGCCAAGTTTACTACGATGATCGACTCTTCTTTCTGCCCCCCACTCTGCTGTACAATCATCCTTGCCGAGCATGCTGGCAGAGTGCCTTCCAAAAAGGTTGAAAACATCATGTGCAAGATCCAAACGCGAAGACACTGTGCCTACAGGTCCTCACCAGGGTACTCGAGACTTTGTGGCCAGATTCCGGCCCAACAATGTTGTGCGTGCATGCAGAATTAGCTCAGCAGCCGGGAAACACCAGCAGAGCGGCAGGTCGCTGAGAATGGAAAAAATGTGCCACGTGGGGCCATGTCTTCCCGGAGCTTGAGCCCGAGGTTCCACAAAGGTCTTGTGAGAAGTCAACTCTTCTGTTCAGCGCATGCGTTACATAGCAAAGGTAGCTGTCACCACTCGAACGGCACCACAGTGTCAACTCATCTGATCAGGAAATGACACTGCAGATCGTTGCAGGCTCGTAAAGTTCGGGTCGTGGTTAAGCGACCTCAGCTGCAACAGGTCCAAGCTGCAAGACCTCTCGAAGTTTTGATATGGCTCCAGCCCAAGACGGCATAGTAAGAGAAGTTCCGTTTAGTTAGGATCTGTCGTACAGACTCTGATGCGCAAGCGAATGTGCCGGCAGCTGCAACAGGTTGCGGAGTGACAAATCCGTCGATTCGACATGATTCGACCACTGTTTGGACGGGTTGCCTTCCTCTCTCGGTCAACTTTTAAGTTGTAGGACACAGAGCCGCCATTCTCCTTGAAGCGCTGCATCCTCAGAGCACACTGAAAGCACACTGAGAACACTTAGTACTTTTCAGTAAGCTGAAGGCTACGCGGGGCCACTCCTGGGACTAAAGTGCGCGGAGCACACTCGGGCGGAGCACACGTCTGCAAGGCCCTACTACGCAAGAGGCAAGAGAAGGCCAGAGCTTACACTCTGCACAAGTACTGCACATCACGGCACCTTACGTGCACTTGCGGCTTAGGGCTTAGGGCCTGGCAGCGCCCGGCCCCAAAGAAGCGCATCAGGAGGCAAAGTTTTGGCAAGCAGCCTCAAAAGCAACAGCTTCGAACTCAATCCCCAGGAACACTCAACTCGAGGAAGCCAATCGCATCAACTGAGGCCAGCAACTGGCCCTTTTCCACTGTCTTCTTTTCGGGAGGGAGGCCTCCACTGTCACATGTTGAACATGTTGAACAAGACTTCTCTCTCGCCATGCAAGCAGTCGATGAGTGATGAGTGCACTGAGCCCCTACCAAGAAGTTCACGCATCCGTGTACGCGGAGGCATGACATACTTGCTGGGATCCTTCAAACCTCGGCCGTGCTCATGTCGAGGGCAAGCTTGTAAACTGGTAAGCTGGGCCCAGGTCCAGCGGCGAAGGCAACCGCCCGACAATCCAAGACTGGAGCCTGCTTGATACTGCTTCATTTCTTCCGCCTCCTTCTCTTCTCGTTCCTCCTTAACTGGCGTGCAAACCTAGATCAACTTCCGTGGATGGGCTGCGTGGCCGAGCAGGGCCTAGCACACACAGTAACATCAACAGAACGCTGCTACACAGCTGCCGTCGCGAGCTCAACTCTGCCCAGGAACCTTCGACATTGCATTTTCGGCCTCGGCATATTTCTGACGTCATGGAAGGCTAGGGCCCTACAATTCCTGGTGGCCTGTCTCAAAGCACCCTGCGAAACCCCAGACTTCTTCTGCGGCATGTGGTTGTTGGCTGGAAAGCCGGATCTGGGAAGGATGCTCTCCAGACAAGGCGACATCCATCCACATCTCATCATGCGTGTAAGCAGGTATTGGCAGCACGAAACAGTCGGGCCTGCTGCGGGGCCAAGCATGCAATTGGCCTCGTTCTGTCATCCAACCCGCAGCATAGCCAGCACAGAGCCATGTGCTGAGGGTCAGGCATGCCATCTTCAGCACTGCAAACAAAAAAGGCGTTGCCTTCCAAGCGTTCCTCAGTGCCGCGGAACTTGCATCCACAGTTAAGGTGGAGCATCCTGCGTTACCCGTCAACCGGCTCACGTTCGGATTCTGCTTCCTGCCAAATGACCCGCTGTTCCACTCGCATTCAACTCCATTTGTGTTCTTTCCGCTGCATCGCGTTCTGGCCTTGCGCGCGTGCGCGCGTGCTCGCGCATGCCCGCGAGCGTGCGCGTGCGCGCGTCGAGCGCGCACGTTCGTACGGGTGCACGGGTGCTGCAGTTGCGAGCGCGCGCGCGCGCTTGCACGCGCTGCGTGCGTCCGTGTATGTGTCTGTGTCTGTGTTGTCTCTCTGTGTGTCTCTGTCTCTGTGTCTCTGTGTGTGTGTGTGTGTCTGTGTCTCTGTGTCTCTGTGTCTCTGTGTCTCTGTGTCTCTGTGTCTCTGTGTCTCTGTGTCTCTGTGTCTCTGTGTCTCTGTGTCTCTGTGTCTCTGTGTCTCTGTGTCTCTGTGTCTCTGTGTCTCTGTGTCTCTGTGTCTCTGTGTCTCTGTGTCTCTGTGTCTCTGTGTCTCTGTGTCTCTGTGTCTCTGTGTCTCTGTGTCTCTGTGTCTCTGTGTCTCTGTGTCTCTGTGTCTCTGTGTCTCTGTGTCTGTGTCTGTGTGTGTCTGTGTCTGTGTCTGTGTCTGTGTCTGTGTCTGTGTGTGTCTGTGTCTGTGTCTGTGTCTGTGTCTGTGTCTGTGTCGTGTGCGTGTGCGTGTGCGTGTGCGTGTGCGTCTGTGCGTGTGCGTCTGCGTGTGCGTCTGTGCGTGTGCGTCTGTGCGTGTGCGTCTGTGCGTGTGCGTGTGCTGTGCGTGTGTGCGTCTGTGCGCGTGTGTCTGTGCGCGTGTGTCTGTGCGCGTGTGCTCTGTGTCGTGTGTCGTGCGCGTGTGTCTGTGCGCGTGTGTCTGTGCGCGTGTGTCTGTGCGCGTGTGTCTGTGCGCGTGTGTCTGTGCGCTGTGCGCGTGTGGTGCGCGTGTGTCTGTGCGCGTGTGTCTGTGCGCGTGTGTCTGTGCGCGTGTGTCTGTGTGTGTGTGTGTGCGCGTGGGTCTGTGCGCGTGGGTCTGTGCGCGTGGGTCTGTGCGCGTGTGTCTGTGCGCGTGTGTCTGTGCGCGTGTGTCTGTGCGCGTGTGTCTGTGCGCGTGTGTCTGTGCGCGTGTGTCTGTGCGCGTGTGTCTGTGCGCGTGTGTCTGTGCGCGTGTGTCTGTGCGCGTGTGTCTGTGCGCGTGTGTCTGTGCGCGTGTGTGCTGTGCGCGTGTGTGCGCGTGTGCGTGCGCGTGTGTGTGTGCGCGTGTGTCTGTGCGCGTGTGTCTGTGCGCGTGTGTCTGTGCGCGTGTGTCTGTGCGCGTGTGTCTGTGCGCGTGTGTCTGTGCGCGTGTGTCTGTGCGCGTGTGTCTGTGCGCGTGTGTCTGTGCGCGTGTGTCTGTGCGCGTGTGTCTGTGCGCGTGTGTCTGTGCGCGTGTGTCTGTGCGCGTGTGTCTGTGCGCGTGTGTCTGTGCGCGTGTGTCGTGTCTGTGCGCGCGTGTCTGTGCGCGCGTGTCTGTGCGCGCGTGTCTGTGCGCGCGTGTCTGTGCGCGCGTGTCTGTGCGCGCGTGTGTGCGCGCGTGTGTGTGGGCGTGTGTGTGTGTGTGTGTGTGTGTGTGTGTGTGTGTGTGTGTGTGTGTGTGTGTGTGTGTGTGTGTGTGTGTGTGTGTGTGTGGGTGTGTGTGGGTGCGGGCGTGCGTGCGTGGGGGCGTGCGTGCGTGCGTGCGTGCGTGCGTGCGTGCGTGCGTGCGTGCGT